ACTTGGCGGGGGCACTACCGTGCCCCCAGACATAAAACATATGAGCCGTGCTTGAGTTGAGTAGCTCAAGGGCGTAGTGCTCGCCGTAAACGCGAACAACCCGGGCTCGATCGCCGCTAGTGTTGCCAGGTGTCCCGATTTGCGCGGGACGTCCCGATTTTCAAGGGTCTAGTGACATGTCCCGATTCACCCTTGATCGGGACGCCAAATGTCCCCATTTTCACTAACATTCTTATTCTATACTTTAATCCATAATTTAGACAGCAAAAATGATTATATCTGTTAGCTACTACCACATTAAAATATTTTTACTACGACATTGTATCACTAGTCGAAAAAAACCACAAAAGTTTTTAACAGAATTATATTAAAATGAGTGATTTGAAAAATTCAAGGACTGCAAAAAAAAAAAACAAAAAGTTCAAAAATGTTTTAATTTGCTTAAAATGAAAAACAAAATCAGTTTTTACGATGTTTGGATGAAAAGTTATTCGTTTATGAGATCAGACCCGAATAATAATTATAAAGCACAAAAATAAAGTAAAGTTACAGTCACAATTTCTCGCATTACTCGCATGTGATATTTACACTTTACAGTTAGCGTTGACCATCTGAGCTACCACGGCTCTCAATAAAGCACAAAAAGGCTACAAAGAAACCTATATTTTGTAGTCATTGTAGTTGTCCGGATATGAAAACCAAATCCCCGATTATTTTTACCTTCCGTCCCGAAATTTTACTTGCTAGACCTGGCAACACTACTCCCCCGCCGACACTAATGAAATTGTTAGTTTGTGATGAATTATGTTTACATTATGAAACAGAATAAAAGTTTATCAAATGATATATATTTTATACAATACATATTTTTCAATTAGAACATATATATATATTATAATATACTCAATAGGGTGAAAATGTAAAGCCGACTTCAATTTACTAAAAGAATAAAACAATTTCCACATATTAGCCTCCGATTTCTATACACTATATAAGCCATTATATGGAAATTATTTTTTTATTATTTTAGTTCCAATAGTATCAAAGACAGGTATATAATCAAAGATCAAAGTGATTCGTAGTCGTCGTTAGGCAAGTATTATAGCCTCACGCTCGCACAGACACGCACACAGAGATAACATTGTAGTGTGCGTCAATATTACGCCGATCCAAAGCGATCGCGTAAATTTCGACTTGGAAATATTTGAATAAGCGCTCTTAAAGTGCGGTCTATGCGCCGCAGTCACGGCGGTGACACTCCCTGTACGTGAGAGCTTAAAAAAGCGCCGGTGACCTTGAGTCGAAGCGTGTAACGCTAGGGTTGATATCGAACCGAAATGGAATATTATAGACTTGTACCAAAGAAGATACATAGTAGGTATGTGTTATATATTATGTAAACTTATATATTTGGGTAGTGAAAGATACGTTCAATTTTAAATCAACTTTTATTAAATGAGGAATATTAAAACTTCCGACAAAACCAAATATGCACGACAGTTAATGATAATCTTAAATAATTAACCAACACTTAGTATTTCAGTACGCAATAATCAGTATTACCTACTATCCTTTAAAAATTATTTACTCTTATATATTTTTGAATTTTTCGATTAATTTTTTAATTTTCTTTATTATTTGTAACAATTGCAAAAATTCGTAGCATGTGTATTTTTTTTTTAGAAAATCCAAAGGTATGCAGGTTTCCTGGGACATGGCGGCCAACAAATTGTTCCCTATGTGTTGAGGAGATGTCATTTCTATTTCTAATGAAATAATCCATAAATACAACAATGAACAAATACAAAAACTCTTTATAGATCTAAAATTTCTTTACTCTCTAATGGCATTTTTAATAGTGTATATTTCAGACCTGTAAGCCAAGCCATGCGCACTTTCGATCGTACAATACCTACCGTACGTCCGCCAAGCAGTGATCTAATTTGATCAGAATTATGTAAACATGTGTACCTATGAAAAAACTATTTTTTCGTTTTAAACAAAACCAAAGACACTATGCAATAGATAATAGTATCAAAGACAAAGATATGCTCTTTTATTTTAAACCATAACCTGGCAATGTTTCTTAGAAAAAAAAAAAGAAATCACTCTGAACTTTCGGCGTTCCACGTGCCGTTTTGATGAAGGTGCTCCGTCTTTTTTATAGAATTTTATATTTGTGTCTGGACTAAAAACGAAAGTATTATACTTTTTTATATTCCTTGTAATATAGTGAACATATATATATATAATTTGTGGTATAAAAAGTGAAAAGTAAATTGCCAAAAGTGCTTCAAAATCTGGAAGGCCCATTATGGCGGCTGGGTCATAAATGTGGTATTTTTCACATTCTCATTTATTTTTAGTGTAAAATGTAAGTAAAAATAGTTTTCTTACATATTTCAAATAACTTGACGTTGTATTTATTTCAAATTCACACAAAACTATTTTAGAAATATTGTTCTAAATGTCACACAGATAAAATATTATTATTTAAATTTTTTTTAAATTCTTTATATTTTAATATTTTGGTATGAGTAACGAATGGAAACACATAAAACATAAAAATATACATATTTCCAAACATTTTCATATAAATTTCTCTAAAAACAAAAGTGTAGAATTCAAATTAGTAGTAATTTTGTCACTAAAATTGAAGTATATACCACTATACAGCTATACAGGGTAATTTACGTATTTTATTACAATTTCTAGCAACCAAAAATAATTTTATTCGATAGTTTATACATTCAACAAGAATTCCTGTAAGTTTTATCCATAAATATTGTCTCAAAGTGAAAATATAGCAAAATTTGCAATATAGCAAAAAATTTGCTAATTTTCAAATTTTGCCGCCATTACGGTCCCGAGCGAACGGGATTATAACATGTCGCGCGCTGTCAGAGCTTACAGATGTAATATAATAAAATTATTGGCGACATATTAGTTTTATTGTCATGGTATTTCCCCATAATTCTTGTTAAGATCATATCAACTTTCATTAAAATGAGTTCACATATTTTTAGGTATCATAAAACATTATTAAAAATTAAACTAACAAAACAAGGGCCCTTGTTTTGTGCAGTGGTATTTATTTTAATTCTAATCACTTAAAATCACTTTCAGTAATACTTATACATATACTATAATATCATTTATTTAATAACAACATTAATATTTATCAAAGCATATAAACCTAACATACACGGCTATAAAAACTAATAACGTTACTTGACTTAATACTAATAATAGAATAGTAATATGTACATTAAGATATCAGTAATATTCATATATTAATTGAAATAGTTATTTGAATTTTATAATGAATATATTCGTCAAGTGACGAATATACAAGTGACGAATATATTCATATTAACTAATACTGACAAATATCGGTATTACTACTAGCCCTCGGCCAGGGCAGTCGGCGACTGCCCGTTCCACGCCCCGCGCGTCTCTCAAGGCTCCCGCACACATCTAGACACCCACACATAGCCGCAAGCGACTTTACGTGCACACATGCTTAAGTGTCGTTTCTTTTCGCGTAGTGTATATATTCTTTGCCGCAGTTGAATGGAACAGAGTAGCTGAATGCAGTGTAGCCTCTAGTAGGTATATAGTACATAATAGCTCAATGTTCTCTTGAGTAAAATTAGTTTGTAACAGCGCTATCTAGGTACTTCGTTGTACAGGTAAAGTCCTTTTTTCAAAAAAAAATATATTTTACTCTCAAGATGGTACGTAATAAAGAGGTTAAATGGCCTGACGTTATAAAATCGTGTATTTTTATTAAATGGATTGCATGTGATAATTTTATTCATTATTATGGTTAATTTTATATATTTTAATTATTTGTTAATTTTCTTAACTGTTTATTTTAACAGGTAAAATTTATATTAACCGTCTTGAGCTCAAAAAGAGGACCGAGATAATAGGGAATACTGTATTTTTTTAAATATAAGCATTGCGTTAGTAAGACTTTCCTTCATACTTGTGTAAGAGTTAGACCACGACAGTAGCCGAATGGCGGATTCAAACCCACAACCTTTGAGTTTGGCATCTGCGCCCTGACATTACACAGGCTAACGTCGCTAACTACACTGCATTATATATGATCGCAGGCTAAATCTTATAGATGAATATGTTTGTCTCTTTTTCATTACATCGAGTTTCAATTGACAACGATTCTAAAGAAGTTTCACTTCAATAATATACATAAAATAAAATAATAGTGTAATACAGAGTCTGTGAGAGCATTGTCGGAAGGACCGGTCCTGCTGAGTGCTGACCCATTCGTGCCAACAACGATGGTATAGCTGCACTGCAGCTTGGCTCTACCAAGTATGCCATGCTGTACGTATACGTGGTCTTGTTCTGACTAACTATAGATTTCCACTATCTTGAGCCTCGTTTACGGGCTGTTTTCCAAAGTTGTTACCAATCGTCTCGCACGTAGGCTTGACGACTTCCAGCCTCCCGAACAAGCTGGATTCCGAAAAGGCTTTAATAATGTATACCACATATATACCACAAAATTTTAAAATTTGTAATATTTTCCAAACAGTAACATTTTATTAATTGCTTTTTGTCTTATATTTTTTTTAAATTCTAGCAATGTTATATTAACATTCGTAATATTTCCGTTAACCACTCAAGGTAATCTTAAAATTCTTTTGTAGGAAGTGGTTCACATAGCAGTGGCGGATTTGAGCCCACGGAAAAGGAGCATAAAGATAGATCTTTTTTTAATTATAGTGTGCTAATACTTTAAAAAAAAAACCTATTTTAACAACTTATACCATAAATGAAACCAAAAACTATATAAGTCTATAAAATTTATTTTATAATACGTGTGTCAAGTATATCGGCAAGCTCTGAATCATTTTCACAGATCATTGTACCACAAGCTTTCACACAAACCGCTAGTCCCCTTTGTAAATTTATTTAACAAACATATCCTAAAATATATAAATAAGTATAACATAAAGTTATCGACAAAAATGATATTAAAATTAATTATAGTGCTTTTATTAGTAATAATAACAAAATCATCCGATGGTAATGGTGAAACCAGCATAGAAACAGTAGATGAAGAAAATTATACATATAAAGCAAAAAATATAAAAGGTGATTTAAAAATACCAAATGAGATTAAAAGACATGAGAGATCCAATTTTTATAACCCCGCCGTTAATTTAATATCAGAAATAATAAGAACCGGTTTCGAATCAAAGAATTTGGACCTTTTCGACTTTTTGAGAGACAAATATCCCCCGCCTGGAGGTGAGTGAAAATAAAAATATTTATCACAATAGTGTAAATTGTAAAGATTTTCGAAAATATACAGTGTAGATTTTTAAATATTTCGTAAACAGTTCACTTAAAATTCTTTATTTTTTAATGACATAAAAAGTGTACATTTTCATGTTATATAGAGGTACAATATGCATAAAATGAAATTCATAAACTTGTCTTTGTATTAACAATAATCATTATTCAAATTTCTTAATAACTTGAAGCTGCCCTAGAGAGAATGTAAATTTTAAAAATGGTTTTAATATCTTTGCTGTAGAGACTATGTTTTAATTTATAATAATAATGTCTTCAAGACCGAATTCCGGCCACGGCGGCCTGCCTCAACGGAGGCTAGCCATCGGCGCAGGACAGGATTATAGTGCCCAAGTGTATGCGCAAGCACAGGTGCACTCTCTATTCCCTCACTCTCATAATGCGATGGGACGGTAAACCGACACGACCGGAGAGAGATCAGGCGCAGGACCAACGGCTTTACGTGCTTTCTGAGGCACGCGGGAGAACACCGCCAAGTTCCTGACTCCGGGTAACTACTGAGAATTTCATGACGGAAAAACTCAATAATTTTTTTTTGGCCCGACCCGGGATTCGAGCCCGGGACCTCATGATCAGCAGTCGCAATACTACAACCACTAGACCAACGAGGCAGTCGTTGGTCTGGTGGTTGTAGTAGAGTTTTAATTTTTACAAAGTATTGATTTATTATTTTAATAGGTATAAATTCTAATAAATTGAACACTCAGGTTCAAAGTAATCAGTAGTATCGAAATCATGCTTGAGATAGTAATTAAATCGGTGCCTTATACAGGCTGTGAAAGCGATATCACAAAATCGCATTCACAATTTGACTACGGACATGAGCCATGTCCTCGGACAAACATTTAACTTTAGTTGTATGGTTGAACGGTATTTCTAGTTGTGTAATGTTGTTATTGCCCAGTCAGTTAGTTTCCTTGTTATAATTTATGAGCTTGACTAACAGATCGAATTTTCTTAATAGTAACATTTTTTGGTTTACAAACTAGAATCTAAGGCAAAATAGTACCCATCTATTATATTAAAAGTAACGTTTATCATGCAAGCTCTATTAAAGTGTATCACTTCATATAGCTTGCATATGAAGTTATACACTTCCATATAGCGTCCTTAATTTCGCTTGATTGATCTTAAAAAAGAGATGCCGAATTAAGGATTATATAATATATTAAATCCAAGTTAAAAACTAAGAATAACAGGGTAAGTAGTGTGTTACCAAAATAATTACTTTAATTAGGGACTCGAACCCAGGACGAATCATTAAGCCATCAGTCACGCAAAAATGTATTTAAATATTACGCGCGTACAAATAAACATAAACTCTCACGCCTGTCACCTAAAGGGGTAGGCAGAGACTACGGACTTCCATTCGGCACGATCCTGACACACCTCTGTCCTCTCCTTTAAATCCATATACCTACGCATACATGTATGTCGGTTAAGGGTCCTCTAGGGCCCATCTTCAATATATCGCCAATTTGGTCGATAAACTTTCGTCTAGGGCATCCCTTCCCGCCTCTTCTATTCACATCTGCATCATAAATTTGCTTTGTCACTCTTACCTCGTCCATTCTTTCTACATGAACAAACCACCAAAGCATTCTTTTTTTAATGCTGGACACAACATTATCTTTTCTCTTATCACACAATATCGCACCATGTCATTCCGGATAAGCTCTAAAATGCTCCTTAATGACCGCATTTCCACAACACTTATTCTACTCTCGAGCTTTTACTACCACACCCAACTTTCACTACCTACATTAGGGTAGGAACTAGCACAGCAATGTGAGTTGCCATACGTGCCTTTTTTAACACGTTCTGACTTCCCACAATGGAGTAAAGAGCCCCATTTACTCTATTTCCTGCGTTCACTCTTCATTCTATATCCTTATCATATCTACCATCCCTACTAAAAACACATCCCCAATACACAAACTCATCCACTTGCTCAACCAACTGCCCTTCTATTCTTATTTCACATATCGTTTTACTTTCTTCTCTTTCAAAGACCATCACTTACGTCTCACTTTCGTTCACTTTCATTCCCATTACCTGTAACGACTTATTGTAACCATCATTTGCAAACTGGCCGCTGACGACGTAAATATGACTTTATACGAGTAATCGGCGTACAAGCCATTTGACGGTTTACTCACACATTCTTAGCCCACATTCATCACCTTTCAAAGTTTTTAAACAACTGTCCATAAATAGGTTCACAGCCACGAGGACGCTACACAGCCCCGTCTGACACCTCTATGGATGCTAAACCAGTCCAAGTGGGCCCCGACGATGCTGAAACTAGCACTAGAGTCCCTATAAAGAGACTTTAATGCCTGTATCAGCACATCGCGCAACCCAAATTAGTTCAGTGTTTGCCATAATACATCCCTGTCCATTTTATATTTTTCCAAGTCCATGAACGCACTGTTGAGGCTGACACAGGGCCGTAGAGAGACAGCGGCGGGGTGTGAAGGTGCAAGCGACGACCGCCGTATTCCACATTTGAGGGCTGCAAGAGTAACCCGCGCACAGCTAGTCTTTATTTTACATACATACGTTTGCTATTCTTCTTATTAAAAAAAACAATAACATAGATGTTCATAAAAAAGGAGAAATTAAATCCTTAAAAAATCAAATACATGAAAGCTTTGCGCAGGAATGAAAATTCCTGCAAAACCACGAACGAAAAACTGTATAGTATTTAGCCAGAAACTTTTCCGCGATCATGCGCAAGCTTGCAAATCCCAAATTTTTGCACCACTTTGTTTCATAACTCTTTCAATAATACCTTAGCATAGGTACAGTTTTCCCACAATGCTAAGCAGGCTGATATCACGGTAGTTTTAACAGTCTTGCTGCGATGTACATAAAAATAAGTAAAAAACCAGTTCGGAATGCAAGATTGTATGGATGGGTCAAAGAACTTCGTTTATTTTTTGTATATTTTATATGACGAACAAGCGATAAGAGAAAACAGTTACTTGTTGCTGCTTCTGGAGGCTTGCAAAACATCACATAACATTCGCCATACCGTTACTTAATGCAGATTAAAATTGAATTAAATATGAACAATCCACGTTCCACAAGCTTCTGCGATCTAGTATCCTTTTACGAAATATAATTTCACCTCCTTGAAATGCACGACTTGAAGTCATTTGAGGTTATATTTCTCCTTAATCGAGGATAAATGTAGATGTCTATGGGCCACAACATCCGCTTACCATCAGATGGACTGTGTTCTCGTTTGTCACCCTTGTTCTATAAAAAGAAACATTTACAGCAAACGTTAATATAAGGGATGAAATTATTGAAAAATTCAAACATCTTTTTTTAGTAAGAAAAAAAGTAATAATCGTATGTAGTAATCAAATTTTCCAAATATGGTAGATTTATGAAAACAAGGAGATTCATATTTCTGCCATCTCGAGGAAAGATCATATTTTGTTTTGTATAGATTCCTAAGAACAAATATTTTTGATTGGAAAATGGTATTTGCTTTAGGCTAATTTGACATGCATGGGGATGACGTATAGCTTCTAACCTCAAGATCTGGTAGTGTTAAAAAGGTTTGTCGAGCAATGTGAGTTATTTTCGAGCAATGATGCCGACCGATTGACGAGTCTGGGTTCTTTTCCTGAGAGTTTCGTCACGTTATCGTTGTTCGAAGTTTTTCACAAAAACATTTGCTGTTATTGGTAAACACCATGAAGTGTACCAAACAGTTACCATTACTTTTCTATGGATGAAGTACTCTATAGGGCGTTGTTCCTGTATTCTATTCCTCTAGGTGTTAGGGTGGTCTGGGTATTAGTAAATTTAGAATAAGCTTTTTTTAAATATTTACAGGAACACTACACATTGAATGAAATTAATTTTACGGATTTTATCGCGTTTAATTCCATTCATTTTCATTTATTTTAATTCCCGACGTTTCGGGCGCTTTGAAGCACCTTAGGTCACGGATGTATGAAACATCAGTAAAATTAGTTCTATTCAAATAATATAGGAATTTTTCCTCCAAATGTCATCTTCAACTGCCACAGTGTGAATCTGTCAGATCTGACAGATTCACAGAAAGGTGGTGGAGAGCAGTCTATCCAGTGAGTATAAACAGCTCTACAAAACGTATGCGAATTGGCGCAACCTTAACAAGGCCATATGCCTTGTACAGCAGTGGAAATCATCGAATTATAATAAACACTTCTACATCTATATCTTCATTCCTCTTCACTAGTCTTGACTCACTTTTATTAAAATGGGAAATTATCCTTAACTAAAACTAGTTTGTAAATAAATCCACCTAAATAGGAAGCCATGATTTTGTAATTTGGGAGATCTATCATAATGGTTAGATAATGATAATGACGACGATTTAGGAAACGATAAAGTTAAAAAGAATGTCTATTAAAATAACTTGGCAGCCATTATAATAAGACACGGTGTAAAATAATTACAGATGTTGTTGTCGCTGTAAGTCATTAAAACTTAGATTAATATCCATGGTACGAATTTCTGACACGTCTATATTAATTTATGGCAACCAAAATCTGACAGCACTGCCAATTATCGACAGACATCCGTATTATTATTAATTTTATGTTAATTAATAAAAATACAAGTAATTGAATATATTTTTTTATAGAATAATGGTGAAAAACGAGCACCTGATGTCCATCAGTCCACCTGATGGTAAGTGGATGCTGTGACCCACAGACATCTACACTTATCCTCGATTAAGAATCAAAACGCAGAAGCATTTCACCCCTGAGGACTAAAATGAAATGCCTCGTTTCCAGTAAAAAAGAGTCTCCGGATCTCTACACTCGACACACGAAACACAACAGTATTAAGCTGTTATTTTACACTGGTATTCTGAAAGAGCGTGGTCATTCCTCGGTCGAGCCGACCTGTTTGTGCTACAACCATAATTTAGCAGCAGAGTGGCTCTACCACGTTCTATAATAATAAATATAATAATATGTCTGTCTATATACATATATTCCAAGTATTGTCTTGTTCTAGGCCTCAAAACACCTTTGCCGGAGTACGATTTTGTGATAATTGGCGCAGGCTCAGCCGGCAGTGTTCTAGCTTCCAGGCTTACTGAGAACCGTAACATAAGCGTACTCCTTGTTGAGAACGGGAAGCCGGAGATGCTTTTGACTGATATACCAGCAATGGCGCCATACTTTCAGTCGACTGATTACGCATGGCAGTATTACATGGAGCACCAACCGGGAGTTTGTATGGGTGAGTTAGAAGACAGATAATATTACTAACAAGCTTATGTAATAAACGACCTAACGGTCAGTCACATGAAAGATGAGGGTTAACTTGTTCTTCTTCATTAGCCCACAAAAGTCTGTTAGGTAAGTAACGACTTGCCATAATCACCTCGCGGATTGAATGTCGTAGTATCAGAGTTCTGAGACATCTGCTGTTATTGATACACTGGATCTCAAAAAGCTATAGTGAATTACACCATGACGTGACCACCAAACAGTTATTATTACTTTTCTATGGGAGAGCCTCGCTTTGAAATATTCTTCTAGTATTTGTGTGGTGTTGGTGTGGTGTGCCGAGTTTAGGCTCGTTTTGTTAGGGATGATGAGTTCTTACCTCCGGACTTGACGGAGTGACCTGAAGGTGTACCTTGGTAATCACTATTGGAACTGGTCGCATACCTGGTGCCGCGTACGCGGTGCACCTAATGATTAATGTTTAACTTAAATACTAAATGAAAAATAGTTGAAAATCAAATGTTGTAACAAAATTAATGACAAATGTAATAAAGTTTACATCTCGAATCTTAGACCATATAGGCTTAATTTTCATTCAAGTTGCCACTCCGTTAAAACTGCATCCATATAGTTTAACCTTAATAAAATCTGTAGTATAGAACACTCGTGAAGAAAATTCAAATAAGTAAAATTGATGGAAAATATAAGCATAAACTGACTAACATTACAACATGATTCAAATACATCACGACTTCCTCGGCAAGCTTGTCAACATTACTCATCACTACGCATTGTTACTGAAGCTGTGTAAGTTAACTTTTGAATTTATTATGTAAGGACATAAATTCCTAAGTTTCAATTAAAAAAAGAAACCACTGTTAATTAATAATACACTATTTAAGACATATGAAGAGATTATGATAAAAATTGAGGCCTATAGATTTCTACATCTATCCTCGATTGAAAATGAAAGTGGGCTGTCATTCTTGAGGACTAATATGGAATGCCCTCGTTTTCAATTAACCATTTATTTTCGGTTCTCTGCACGGACCGTACGAAACCGTACGAAGGCGCAACTGAAAGTTTTTAGAACTGGCCACTTATAAACGATATAATAAAAAAATTAAGTTCAAATTTTGAAAATGAAACTGTTTGCCAATATTATTGTGAATGTATTTTTGGAGTTTTGGCGGGAATTGGGCCGGAACGCTTGAATAATGGTTTAAAGTGGATTTTGATTTGTAAAAGTGATGCGATTTTGTGTATTAGGTGTCTGCGCGTGTGAACTATTAGAGGAAATGACGAAGCAAGTGCTTTGATGTCGATATAAACCTCAAGTTATTTGGATTGCTTGGGCGCCTTATCAACTTGAGTGGCTGTCGTAATCAACTGTCCGCTGGGTTCAGCTGTCGTCAAAATCTCCCATAGGCTACGCAATGACGCATCAGCGTATTGTGAAGAAAAAGAAAATAAAAATTTTAAATCTAGGTATTATAGTACATAATATTTTGAGTACCTACTCACTAATACCAAAACTGTTTACGAGGTCTGGAGTCTGGACATCATACTATATTTTAATTATCAATATTTTTTTAAAGTCAGTTTTATGATATGAGCAGGTACCAAGTCAATTATTTACATACATACATATACATTTAAAACGCCAACTCACAAATTCTAAAAAAACCTAAGTTTCGTTGGCAAAATAGCTAAAATAACAGAAAAAGAATAGTTTCAAATAAAACCATTTGAAAATTCAAATTTATTTTACTGTTTGGGTATTAGTGAGTATTTTATTTTACCTTACCTCCAGACTTGATAGTGTGACCGGTAGGTGTACTTTAATAATCGCTATTGGAACTGGTCGCCGAGTACTACTAGGTGTGCCGAGTTTGGGCTCGTTTTATTAGGTATGATGAGACCTTACCTCTGGACTTGACGGAGTGACCTGAAGGTGGTACTTTGGTAATCACTACTGGAACAGGTCGCCGAGTACTACTAGGTGTGCCGAGTTTGGGCTCGTTTGTTAGGTATGATGAGTTCTTACATCCGGACTTGACGGAGTGACCTGAAGGTGTACTTTGGTAGTCGCTATTGGAACTGATCACCGAGTACTACTAGGTGTGCCGAGTTTGGGCTCGTTTTGTTAGGGATGATGAGTTTTTACCTCCGGACTTGACAGAGTGACCTGAAGGTGTACTTTGGTAATCACTATTGGAACAGGTCGCCGAGTACTACTAGGTGTGCCGAGTTTGGGCTCGTTTTGTTAGGGATGATGAGTTTTTACCTCCGGACTTGACGGAGTGACCTGAAGGTGGTACTTTGGTAATCACTATTGGAACAGGTCGCCGAGTACTACTAGGTGTGCCGAGTTTGGGCTCGTTTGTTAGGTATGATGAGTTCTTACCTCCGGACTTGACGGAGTGACCTGAAGGTGTACTTTGGTAGTCGCTATTGGAACTGATCGCCGAGTACTACTAGGTGTGCCGAGTTTGGGCTCGTTTTGTTAGGGATGATGAGTTTTTACCTCCGGACTTGACGGGGTGACCTGAAGGTGGTACTTTGGTAATCACTATTGGAACTGGTCGCCGAGTACTACTAGGTGTGCCGAGTTTGGACTCGTTTTGTTAGGTATGATGAGGCCTTACCTCCGGACTTGACGGAGTGATATGAAGGTGTACTTTGGTTGTCGCTATTGGAACTGGTCGCCGAGTACTACTAGGTGTGCCGAGTTTGGGCTCGTTTTGTTAGGGATGATGAGTTCTTACCTCCGGACTTGACGGATTGACCTAAAGGTGTACTTTGGTAATCACTATTGGAACTGGTCGCATACCTAGTGCCGCGTACGCGGTGCACCTGATTACCAAAGTACACCTTCAGGTCATTCCGTCAAGTCCGGAGGTAAGAACTCATCATACCTAACAAAACGAGCCCAAACTCGGCACACTTAGTAGTACTCGGCGACCAGTTCCAACAGCGTTTATCAAAGTACACCTTCATGTCATTCCGTCGAGTCCGGAGGTAAGGACTCATCATACCTAACAAAATGAACCCAAACTCGGCACACCTAGTAGTACTCGGCGACCAGTTCTAATAGCGACAACCAAAGTACACCTTCAGGTCACTCCGTCAAGTCCGGAGGTAAGAACTCATCATCCCTAACAAAACGAGCCTAAACCCGGCACACCTAGTTCTACTAGTCCAGGTGTTCCAGTATTAGTTACTGATGTTCACCTTCAGGTCACTCCATCAAGTCCGGAGGTAGGGTCTTATCATAACTTACAAAATCAGCCCAAAGTTCACAGCTAATATCTCACTGCCAGTAGTGGGCTCCCAGTGCCAAGCAGTCTCTAGAGTAAGGTATTCGTATTTCGTATCTAAGTCTAATTACTCTATGTATCTAAGTATATTTTTGAGGTATAAGAAATCAAAAACAAATTCGATCTTTCAAATTTTCAAAATAATTTTATTTGACGATTCCCGCATCCAACCGTGCGTACACTTGTGTGCGTAACCGGCTAACCGGTGTCAATGGAATAGTTCGATTCTATACCTATATCAATTTTGTAAACGCGTCCTTAAAAATCTTAACGTAAATACTGGGGCAAAAATAGCGACACGTCTCTTCAGCACCAGGCCTCGGACGGCAGTGACTGCACAGGAGTTTACGCAAATATCCGTACGTATTATTTCAGAAATAAGAATATGCGATTTAAAAAAAACTATTAGTTGGACTAAAAAACTAAATATAACGTTAATATGTTGAATGTATAAAAATCTGACAAAAATCAGAATGATTGCATGTATACTAGTATGGTTTTTACTAGTTAAAAGAATTTTTTAGAGGTATGTTTGTGATTTTTTTCTGTCGTATTAAATTAGTGGTATCATGTTTTCAACACACTATCTAACTAGCATATAACCTGGACAATATCATATATTTTTCTGGGTTTGTTTACTGCAGTGGATCATATACTTTGAGGCATTATAAAACTTGCGTTTAGGGTCATGCCTCGTCTTAATTAAAAAAAAATTAACGTTGTTCATTAATTTGTCATTTGTTTACGATTCGGCGGTAAACTGAAAATTGTCTGTGTCACGTCGGCATGAACTTAACGCGAGATAATTTTCGTACAATGATTTTTATTACTCGATGTCATTTAAGTCAACAAGAAAGTTATGATAGACTTCGATTGTCCTATCAAGATGAAGCCCCATCTCGTGCCACTGTTTACAACTCGTATGAGTTTAAACGTGGTCGCACTAATCGCACCGATGATCTGCGTGAGGGACGGTCTCCTACGGCGAAAATTGAAGATAACATCAGTGTTGTGTGGCGTATGATAGAGACTGACAAAAGAGTGACTTATCAGCATCGATATGAGTCAAGTGCACACAATCCTCCATGAATATTTAGCGGTCAGGAAGCTTTGTGTCCGGTGGATACCTCATAATTTGACACAGGCCCAAAAACTCAGTCGTGTTGATTGGTGTCGCCAAATATTTGAATGATTTAACGGAGGTGACTCAAATGCTGTGTTCTTACATACTTACGGATGACGAAAGCTGAATTTATTGTTATGAACCTGAAACTAAGAGACAGTCTGCTGTCTGGGTGTTTCCTTCCGAGGAGTTGCCAACTAAAGTGGAGGAGTAAAGTAAGAGAAGTCGAAGCGTGCGAAAAAAGATGAAGGCCTCGTTCTTCGGAAGCACAGGTTGCGTAATAATTGTTTTAGAGGATCGAAAAACAGTTACCACAGAGTGGTACACTAACAATTGTTTACCACTTGTCTTGGAAAAAGTTCGGGAGAAACGACCTAGCAGTAGGCTCCTCTTTCACCACCACAACGTCTCGCCGCACACCGTCAAATAAGCAATCGACTGCTTGGCGACATCAGACGTAGAATTACTGGGTCACCCAGCCTATAGCCCCGACTTCGCACCTTGCGCTTTTTATACATTTCCGAAAATAAAAGAAAAAATCGAGGAAAACGTTTTATGTACGCCGAGGAAGCAGTGGCTGCGTTTCAAAATGCCGTCGAAGAGATCCCTAAGGACGAGTGGGCAAAGTGCTTTTCTCAGTGTTTCAATCGGATACAGCGATGTAGTGATGTAAATGGACACTATTTTGAAAAGATATACCTAATAAAACTAATAACTTGCTAGTTTGTTCAGTTTTTGATTTTCTATGAACTTTCTGTGTCACCCTAGTATTAAGAAATACAGCATCATTTTAAACTAATATTTCACGCTGGTATTCTGTAAGAGCGCAATCCTTCCTCGGTCAAGCCAACTCATCCGTGCATTTTTTTTTGGTATAGGGGTGACAAGTGATCACCCAGCCCACCTGTTGGTAAATGGTTACTGTAGCCCATAGACATCTACATCTGTCCTCGATTACGAATCAAAATGCAAATGCGTTGTAACCCGTGAAGACTAAGATGGAATGCCTCGTTACCAGTATTAAGGTTCTCTGTTTCTCTATACTCACCAAACTGGGTCACTCGCACGGGTAGTACCTACTATAGCTAATTCACTCCGACTTTTCATTAAAAAAATATAAATAACTAGAATCCTGCTTACGTTTATGTTACATTCCAGTATGTTATTAAAGATATTAAAGAAATCCCACAAAAATCATAAATGTAAAAGGGGGTCAAGTTTGTATCAAACGACGTTCGAAGTTGTACCGAACTTTCACATACATGTGAAATGACCTTAAGTTCTTTTTATCTTGAACTTAGGTTATTTAAAAAAAATTGTTTCTTTAATTGAAATCAACAATGACCTTCAACGTTATTTCTTGCCTTTATGCTTCACTCTTTTCTATTATTATTTTATTTTTCCATTGACAAACTTCAAGTTTATGTCACCTAAAAGAGACATTTGTTGTTGATGATGTTGTTGACGATGAATGAGTCAGTGACTAAGTGAAATAGTCAAAACTTGTGCTACAACACTACATAAAATGGCTACAATTTAAAACGTTAATTGCCCAATTAATAAAATAGGTTAAATCACTATTTTAGTAGCTCAAGGGTCCTTAATAGACATGTAAAATTATAAGTGTGAGTTCTGATAGTTTTTTGCTATAGGGGTTTCAAAAATGGCTAAAAATGGTTCGTGAAGATACACATTGCGAGTGGGTCGTTCTTTTCTTTTCCGAACTAGTCTATCACACTGCCGTCTGTCTAGTGTCTACATAAGTTAACTCACAAAATAAAATTGTGTTTCTTATCTAATTTGAATAGCCTTCTCTTCAAATTCACACCAGAAACAGAAACAGAAACTTTTTTATTCAACATAGATTTTAAGTAATACTTATTGAATCCCACTCTTTTGTTTAATTTAAAGTTCGGAGAAAAAACCTCTGTCTAGAGTAGAACCAGCAAGAAACCAACCAAGGGGTTTTTTAAAATAACAACTTGCAATCAAATAACTACATCATAAATATGAGTGACATAAAGTAATTGTAATTTGAAAATGAATGTAGTATTAGCATTTAATATTATATCATGGTTATCCCCTAAACATTTTCTTTATCCCCTAAGCTTTTTGTAAATATAAGGTAACGAAACTAATTGTCCACAGAGATAACTCAATTTTTGAATTATACATATATGTAACGGCATAACATTTGTAAAAATGTTATCTATACATGTTACACTAAATACAGCAATACGCGTTAGCCCTGAAAATAAATTAAAGGGACCATATTATGATTTTAAAAATTATATAAATGTATTATTGGTGGAAGAAGCTTCTAGGACCTATACCTGATAGAGACTAGAGACAATTTGCGGCTATAATATAAGTAGTATAGTGGTAGCACGAATGGGTCGGCTTGACCGGGGAAGGACCACGCTCTTACAGAATACCAGCGTAAAATAGCAGCTCAACGCTGCTGTTTCGTATGGTGAGTGTAGAGAACCGGAGATCCTTTTTACTGGAAAACGAGGCATTCCATCTTACGGCCTGGCCACGGGGATCGGCGGCGCGAACGGCGAAGCGACAGGCGGGGCGAAAATTCGCGCGGCGCGATTTGAGGGCCACGGGAAGTCACGTTTGCCGCCGCGACCAGATAGGCCGAGAGTAAAATGTCTTTATCAGTTATCTCGATATTGCTTAGAAAGTAATTGTTTTTGATTCAAGACATAATATTTGGATGAGATTGCGGAGTACTTGATTTGAATAGGAATCGGGTTATAGATGGAGAATTCCCCAACAAATAGAATGCATCTAGAAAAAAAAATTCGAGTAAATACCAGGAGTGTCGAAACTTGAGATTATATTCTTGTTAACATTCAACCAGAATTGGAGATAAAAGTTAATGCGGATAGAATTTTAAGTTGTTTTTGCCGGCCCGGCACTTTTCGCGGCGAAAACAACTAAAATATTTTGTTCCCTATACCCGACTCCGTGGCTTGCACCGTAATGATTCATACATTTGTTTCATTCGCCCGCCGCGCTGCCGGTCGCCCGCGCGATTCGCCCGGTATTCGCCGGTCGCGTCGCCACTCGCCGCTACGCGTGGCTTGCTCCATACATTTCTATACATTTGCTTTAGTCGCTAGACGCCTCGCCGTTCGCGCCGCGCGAATTTTCGCTACGGCGAATGTCCCGTGGCCAGGCTGTTAGTCCTCACGGGTGACAACGCATTTGCATTTAAATTCGTAATCGAGGATACATGTAGGTGTCTATGGGCCACAGTAACTACTCACCATCTGGTGGACTGTGTGCTCGTTAGTCACCTTTATCCTATAAAAAAATTATTTTCAATTTCATTAATATTAAAGTCTCCACATATTACAACAGATTTATTCTGTTTTTTAAGCTTTACAAAATCGTACTTCATATTTCTTTTCTAAAGTATATAAAATAGAACAAAGGGATCTATAGACGCTCACAACATTGAGGTGTGCAAACTCAACACGCACCATTTTGTTTATTCGTGAATCTTAGCTAATTCAGTTTCGTGCGCCCAATTCTATTAAATAACATTAAACATTTCAGGCATGGAAAACGAGCGTTGTTTTTGGCCTCGAGGTAACGCTGTTGGAGGTACGAGTGTTATTAACTACATGATTTACACACGAGGCAGACCTCAAGACTGGGAGCGAATCGCAGCCAACGGCAACTACGGGTGGTAAATATATAAAGCAACATTTCTTTTTCAACTCATAATTAGTTACAGTAACGTCAAATTAAACATGAAATCGTAACAATGAATATCGTCTTTAAAGGAGTAGAAACGGTTGTGAAGTGTGTTGCGTTTCTTTTCAACGATTCCTAGTCCTCGTAAGGACTTTTATCATCAAAAATCATACTTATTGTTAAAGCTCTGGTTTCTTAAGATTATGGTGCTGCCACATAGCGGCCGTAATACAGCATACTTGAAAAGACAGCCGTCTTTACGGTGACTACACGTGGAAAGTTCCATCACCCTAACGCCATATTTTTTTAACAAAATAAAGAAAGAAAGAAAAAGTTTATTTGTTACATACATTATAACAAAAATAATTAAAATAAAACATTTTTTATATCTTATCAAAAATATTTAAAAAAGGAATAACATAATATGCACCAAAATGGTCTACACTCAGCTTTAAGTCACGAATTGAAGATATAAAGACATCAATTCGTAACACTGATTTTCAGTGGAAATGTCAGAAGCGTATAGTATTCCTCACCTTTATTATAAAATAGCGTCATAATTAGTGTTGCCAGGTCCGATTTGTTTTAAGTCGGTACATGAGGTCAAAAAATCGGGATTTAGGGTGGCAGATCGAGACAAAGCAAAAAATAAGGTGTTTTTTTAATACGGGTTTAATTTATTGCGTTTTTAACTATTAGTGCAAGTATAATATTATATTACCTAAATTAAATATGTATTTAATCTTACATTACAAGTAATCAGTCTTGCTGGCCTAGTAGAAATTTTAAAATAAAATCGTACTTTAAGTGTAATTGATGCACTCCAGAAGAAAAAAGTAGGTATTTATGTAAGTTATTTATTTTTTATTAAAATTATATTTTAATGGCCTTGTTTTATATAAAATTCCTTACAAGTCATATTAAAGTTAGTTTTCATTGGAATTTCTGGTTTCACATGCCCGAGTGTCAAACGGTTTCCACCTCTCAGAGCAAATTAAGTGAGCCTAGAAAAATACCCTTTCTGTTGTTGCGTTTGATACTGGAATTGAAGACATAAAAGATAATAATTTTTGAAGATTTGCTATGTCTTGATTGTCTTTAAAATACCCTTTCTGTTGTTGCGTTTGATACTGGAATTGAAGACATAAAAGATAATAATTTTTGAAGATTTGCTATGTCTTGATTGTCTTTAAAATACCCTTTCTGTTGTTGCGTTTGATACTGGAATTGAAGACATAAAAGATAATAATTTTTGAAGATTTGCTATGTCTTGATTGTCTTTAAAATACCCTTTCTGTTGTTGCGTTTGATACTGGAATTGAAGACATAAAAGATAATAATTTTTGAAGATTTGCTATGTCTTTATTGTCTTTAAAATACCCTTTCTGTTGTTGCGTTTGATACTGGAATTGAAGACATAAAAGATAATAATTTTTGAAGATTTGCTATGTCTTGATTGTCTTTAAAATACCCTTTCTGTTGTTGCGTTTGATACTGGAATTGAAGACATAAAAGATAATAATTTTTGAAGATTTGCTATGTCTTGATTGTCTTTAAAACTGTTGTGCCATTTTCGTAGCGGCGTTTAGTCTTTGTTTTGCACTGCTGCCTTCACTAATTCTGTGATTTTACATATTTACTTCTTCATAAAGTTGATCTATGTCGAAAAACGTATCAATTTTTAGATTTTCAATAATGTTAACCATTGACGTGTAAGTAAATGAATCATTCTGTGGAGAAAATGCTTTTTAATAAGTCAAATCTGCTATCCTTGAGATCATATTATTTAGTTAATAAATAATGAAGAACATTATTTGTACCACGCACTACAGTAATATACATTTTTATGAAACATTTTTTTCCTTTTTTTTGATTAATCGGGACATTTAGGGTCCCGATCAGGTACGAATCGGGACGCGTCCCCAGACCCCTGAAAATCGGGACGTCCCGCGCAAATCGGGACACCTGGCAACACTAGTCATAATTACGCACAAAATCTATTAAAATTTCGTTTTCCTGTAACTGGAGCTGGCATTCGAAGATGGCGCTCATTTTGTTTTATCGTCACCGGTGACCGCTATCGAAAAAAACGTTCGTGAGCTATCTGGCACCTTTAAAGCGTCCGGCACGCAAAAAGCGGCAAAACTTTTTGTCTTTATGGTGTCAAATACTGCTCTCTGAGAAACCACGCTATTGTGTTTATATAGTTTAGTAGTAGTGAAACCTAGTAGTAGTAGTTTATACAACGTTATAGTGACGTCATTCACCGCTTTTTACTTACTACCGTCAAGTAGCGGCACCGCAATCCTAGGAAACCAGAGCTTTACACACACTACAAGTTGATAAAATAAAAAGCGTTACGATAAAGGTCTAATTCAATCCTGCATTGGAAGCTGCATCTAGTTGCAATATTTTGACTTTATCGAAATAGTTCCTACGCCTTGTTGAACGTTACTATTTTTTTATTTATAAACTGCGTAAGAAAATCGAGAAAAAGAAAGAAAGCAACTTCCCGCAGTGAACTGTTACGAGATGATAAAGATGATGATGATGATGATGATAATGATAATGTTAAAGTCTCAATATCGACTCATAAAAAATGTGAAAATTGTTTAAAACAAGTGTTCAATTATTTAATAGCAATATACTTTGAGGTTATGAATATGTAGGTTCCATCATACTTAAATACGAGTATGAATAGTTAACAAATTATTCATATTCGTATTTAAGTATGTTTTAACCATCATAGTGAGAATTTTCTTATAAAGCCAAACCCCCAGTTCCGAATACAATAAAATTTGCATAATATATTATAGTGCTACTATTATTTTACACAAAACGCAAAATTATATACTTATAATCCATTTTTATTCGAGGAAAATGCTACACAAAAATAGAAGAAGGTGGCGTTATGCCGCGTAAGCTATATGAGAATGATCACAATACAATCAGACTTGAGAACCACAGTTCTGGCAAACGCTAACGTCGTCGATTATGCATTTGCATTCAGTCACGAGTCAGAATGCAGATATTTTACTTTTAATAAGGCTTTGTTTGAAATAAATAAACATTTCAAACAAAGCCTTAAATATAGTTACAGTACATGAGTTACGTATTAAAGGTAAAGGTAAAAAAAGGTATAAAAGGTAAAGGTACTAATAATTTTTTTTTATATGCAGGTCATATAATGACGTAATTAAATACTACAAAAAATCTGAAAAAGCCAATTTAAATGGTTACGAAAGAAGTCCTTATAGAAGTCGAGATGGAATTCTTCCTGTGGAGTTTGTTCCAAAAAAGTAAGTACCATATTTTTGTTTAAAAAAATTGAAATTACTAATAAAATTTAGACTAAAAAGAAATAAGGAAAAACGAAGTTGCAATATAACACCTTAAAGTTCTTAGATCCTTACCTATATAATTACTGTTTTCTAATACAAATTGGCTACTTTGAGTTTCAATATTTATTATTTAGTCATATACAGTCGACTTAGAATTCCAAATTCAAGATAAATTGCATATCATATTAGAGCTATGACACTGCTTTTAAAAAAATAAGATGTTTATTTGTTTTCTCGCCGTTTGTTTTTTATATTGCCATAAAAATAATGAAAATTTTCTTAACTTCCAATACATCGTGGCACAAATGTCGTGGTATAATGGTTAGGGTACGGACTGAAAAAACAAGTCATGGGATCGAACCCGCTATTCGACAACTGTCACGATTCGCGAAACAAACCTTGGATTCTTATCGGAAATAAAGTTAAAAACGTAACTAGTATTCTTTGTTCAGTGATTTGCCGTAGTTCCCACACTTGGTAAGCGGGTTGGCAACCGCGGTTATTTTTTTATTGTTGAGCATCGATCACTAATAAAAAAAAACTAGATATACAATCCCTTGCAATAGTTCTCTAAAAACTGTTACCAATTCGACGCCCCCCGCGAATAATCCGGTAATTGTTAAAGTGTAAATGTTCAGGAAAAATAAAAAACCATTTTTCCTTAATAACTCCATTAAACAACAAGTATCAGAGACTTTTATATCGCATATGGAAGCTAATTTTTTCAGCTATCGGTCTATAGGTTATTTCAACAAAATTTAAGTAGTCCCAAGAGCTTCGTTATAACTTAGCTGGATGCATTTTACTATATTAGTGTAGGTCAAGCTCTGGTCAGTATTGTCACTTACGATATTGTTCGTGTAAATTTATATTTTCGACGGCAACAATAAAATCTTGTTGCGCTATTATTCGTGTAATTTGTTTTGTATACTGAATATTTGTAAAAATCAATTATTAGGTTATTCGATTGTTTAACAGTAACGTACATTTTATTATTATGACTATTACTGTTTATTCAAATAGTTTACTTAAGTATTATTTGATGATTATTATAGTATATTTTATGAAATAAAGGACATTCTAGTAAATAAAACAACTTTGATTAGTTTGAAAAAACACGATAGTTATTATAATCATAAAAAATAGACACTGCACTGAAGACACGACTATTACACAATCGTGAAAATTATAAAAAGGTCCAGTTAAAAATCTTAATCAGAATCCTCATCGTGACCTGATTCAGTATCACAAAAGCTTAAGTTCCTATAAAATGGTTGATAATGGTGGGGAATTGCTTGGGAGTTACACAGGCTTAGGAGATCATTAAACAAAGCTTTTTTAATAGGGAGGGGCTTGTCGTATGCTGGCTTTAATTCAATACTTTCAGTTGTTTTGGACACCTGTTTCTGCCGACGCTGTCTACTTCTGCCTGCATCGTAATCCAATTCAATATAATCCTGATCAAAATCATATTTGAAAAGAAAACAGTTAGGTTTACTGTATGACACACTGACCTCCATCACATCGGACATTGTACTTTCTCTCCTGTGTTATCTTGAAGCCATCTTTTGGGTTCAACAAGTTCTTTTATGTTGAGGATTTCAGGTTCTTGCATTTCCTTTAGGATGTATTTGTCTGCGGAGACTTTAGCGTTCATGATGATACTAAATACTTGGTCCGGTGTGTACAAAACTTTTTGTTTTTCAGAGCTCTTTCAGAGTCTTTTTTCTTTCGCCTGCCTCGTTTATCGATCAAACTTTCATCTCTTTTAATTTTTTCTAAAGCCGTGTAAATAATTTGCTCAGTAATAGAAAGAGTGTTTAAAAAATACCTTGCATACTTGGATTTGTTCATCTTTGAGGGGAAAATAATATTTTAATGTTTGAGATCGATTACTTTTTCTATTTACAGTTACCCTTTTAACATCATTGGATTTAACATGTCGTGTAATGAATTGTCATTGAAATTCTCGATTGGCAAGTTTATAAAAATTGGTATGTAGGGCTAACCTGTCTTCTGTATTGAATTTTAACCCGCAACCTTTTTTACAGACACAATTACTTAAAACATTCTTTTCCTCATGATGTTTTTTATTACGAGCACCTTCATATGCTTGGCCTGGATTTTTAAGTTTCTTGTTCTTATTATCTCTCCATTCACTTGGGTCTCCTTTACGTTTCCTAATAAGCTTTTTTGGTTGGAGTTGATTTTGATTTTCGAATTCAGATACTTGGTTCGTTAGTTCGTTTGTATTATTGACAGCAGGCACTTTTACAGGGATAGCTTGTATGGTTGTTCCAGGTTGGCCAAGTCTGTCAGGTTCCTCTTCAACAGAATTCCGACTTGGTTGATCAATACAATCCAAAGGGTCTAAGTTCATATTATTGTTAATGTCCTGTTCTATCAAATTTTCTTCAGAATCCTTTAAACATATTCCTTCTACGTCTAATTTCTCTTGATCGGCTTCGCTAAGTGTTTGGTTTATGGTCTTTGGATTTTTTTTTTGTTGTTTTTCTCTTCATTATAGCTTATAACACTTCGCAAACTTGGGTCTATTTCACAGTCATTTATCAAACTATTTTCTGCATTAAGTCCTTCATTTTGCTCTTCATCTGATAGATTGTTTGAATCGTTGTTTATCTCTATAGCTTTATCAACAGTAATGCTGTCAGTGTCGGGAGATTATGGTTCAATTGTTATTTCAATTTTGAATTTCTGCAAAATGTAGTTCGTTTTTTCATCGGAACTTTCTGTAGTTTCTTGTTATTTCTGCATAAATCTGAGTTAGTTATATTACAATCAGAGCTGGTAGGTTTAGCTGGTGTTAGTGTTTTTTCTAGGTCGTCACTTGTTGACTGAAGGATTATCTCAGCAAGGTTATTTATAGGTAATTGTCTGTGTTTATTCACTACTGTAAGTGTAATATCTAGAAGTTTAAAAGGTGTATTATCTTGCTTTTTTGGAGAACTAAAAAAGTTCGTTTTATAAATGACAGTAGGTGACGCCACGAAAGCAGTTTCACCCAGCATTAGAGATAAATTCGAAACCATAGATGGAGATCGCGCGATGATTTCAGTACGGAGCAAATTATCTATAACTAGCGAATCACCTCCGAGACTAGAAGTATCATTTTCTTGCAAATGTGTGTTACTAGAGGAAATTTCAATAATATCCGTATCTTGCAAATGAGTAACGAGGCGCGAAGTACTTTTACTGTCAGGTAGTTGACGCTCTGGACTTGGAATGTATTCAGAACAATCAGGAGAGAAATCCTCTGTCATTCTCGTCGTCAAAGTATTTTATATTTGATGGTTCTACAACAATAAGAAGCCTTGTTTTAAAATAAATCTAACAATATTTAAGCAGGTAATACTTAAAGCGATTAAATAGGTACTTAACGATGAAAACGACAATAAATTTTAGGGAACATACCTCTCAACTTGTACACTTTTGGTTTAGCATCTGATTGAATAGAATCTGAAATGATTACAATTTAATTAGATTAAAGGAACACATTTTCGTAACTATTATCTGTATACTTTTCTTCTTGAATTCAATGCATTTTCCTATATCAGTAAATTATAATTGTAAATTATAATATTTTAACTACAATAATAAACTCGTGCGACCTATATTTTAATAATTTGAAAACAGCGGTTGCTGGGATAATTTATCTTTATAGATAAGGACGCCAGCGTTAATTTGAGTACCTACCTACTACTATTACACTAGTTAGGTTTTACATTTTTTATGCTATACACTTAGGTTATGCTTTAATATACATGACATAACTAACAATTTAATAAACACGCATACCGGAAAAAATATTAAGTAGGTAGGAAGTACCTATCTAATTACCTTTTTCTGTAATCACAGTATACAACATGTAACATAATTAACGCACTTTGAGAAAGTAGTTTGTTCGGAATCGTTTACTGAATCGATTCCTATCATTTTTAATATAGGTAATTTTTATCCCAAAAATAATTAAAACTACGTAAATTACAGTCACACTAAATCTGTACAGTCAAAACAAACTGAAATGGACCTTAACTTAAAGCAATAAGACTCTTAAGAGTGCTTTTAAGAGTGCTTTTATTTGTATTATTACTAATTCTGTCATTCAATAAAAATTAAGAAAAATGAACTTTATTTCAAGCACGTTAAAGTCTTTGCGTTCGTGGATTTGTACTGTGACCACATTCTTCCGGAATTAGTATAACTAATTTGATAAATAATCAGTGCATAAAAATGTTTAACTAAAAATTCAATGTATGTATTATGATTATAACATAATATACTAATTGGAGTGTCTGAGGGTGTGCGTTAATTACGTTAAATATTGTATAAAGACACTCACCTCTTCTGCTAAGATCTGCTTGTTCCTTGACAAAGTTGAACAATAATTTTCTTCTGGATGTACTATATGATTTTAACTGACTCGGCAACATAATTATTACAATATTGTCATACAATATTCATTTCACAAAGTATAGGTTAGTTCAAATGTATTTATGATACAAATTCACGTCCTAACAATCAAATAATTACTTGCAGTACTTTTCACTCATTGAGCTATACAACACTAGAGGAGCAAACCACATTAGCGCGCGTCGAAAAAAGTGTAACCACTATCCAAACGTGACGACGTAGCGTTGAAACTTGAAACTAATAACAATTTTAAATAAAGATATATCTATCTCACTTACACAAGTTGCGAAAACAATATCATCGCTAAGATTAGATAAAGATAGACACACAAACATGCAATGGCGGGTTGGTGTGGCTTACTATATGAAATTTTACCTAAAATACGCAATAAAAATGAGTTTTTAAGCTGCAGTTAATTGTTTTTATATTAAAAAAGTATATTTTATTTTAAAATCTTTATTACGTCCCCTTAGAAAAAAAGGATACAAAGCTTATCAGATGAATAGAAGTAAACATAATGATGAAATAAAGCTTATTTTTATGTTACTAATAAATCAAACAATATAAAATTGGTAATAAAAAATAATTAATATAAAATTTATATGAAATTATAAATAATATAAAATTAATAATATAAAATAGGTAATAAAATATATTTAATAGATAATTCATGAATAAACTAAAATAAGAATAATTAATTATTTTGTATGAAAGTTAAAACGTAGTTTTTATTATAATTCCCAAAATATTTAAAACCAGAGGTAACAAATTAACTTACTCTATTAATTATATAGTCTCCCATTAATGTAGGATAATCACAAATGCGGAAAAGTGGCAACATTGAACCTAAACGGCAATATTCGATAATTTTATTTAATTATTTGAAGTTTTTTACGTTTATATGAAAACAAGAACTAAAAATTATGTGTTGAAAGTGATTCCGCTTGATTTATTACGTTTTTGTGTCCTTGAATAGCATTCTTTCACTACGTATTTACCCATTTTTGTCGTGGCTCAACTCTATCGGCATCACATTGAACAATGAACTCACGTTAGCTAGGAATATGGCTGTGGCCACATGTGCAGTGGCAACGCTTTGGCGCGGTTACTGGTACCCGGTACTGATCTAGTGTTATATAAATCAATGTTTTCACTCGAACGGACTCTTTGTGACTAATATTAGGTAAACAAACATTATTATAGTACGACCGAGCGAAGTGGGCTCTTGCCGTTGCAATAGGCATAACCGAAGACGGTACATGTCCTTACAGGTTAAAAAAACGAGCGCGGTGTATTGGTAATAGTCTATTTATGTTTAGATGATATATTATAACTTACACGAATAATATCGTAATATCAATATAGAAAAGGGTTGTGTAAGGGGCCACTCGATAATGAATGTAGCTGGAAATCGTTTTCTTAATAAAACCCCGAATAAACCTGTACTAGCACTTACTTAAATAAGGTAGAAAACTATTTACCCAAATAATATCGTAACAATGTTTACTGTCAAATCACATTGATATTTTTTTTTTGTAAAGATTTAAAACCATATTATTCGTTTAAAATACATTTTAATGAATTTTTATGGAATATACGCGTAGTTTTTCATATCTTCGTAAATAAAGATCGAAAAATGCTGAAAAAAATTTACATGGTGTATTTTAACTTCTAGATGCCGAAAAACGCATAACATGAAAAACCCCGTAATAGGTCATTACCGGATTATTCGCGGGGGACGTCGAATTGTTTTGACGTAATTCTAGTTGAAACAAATATAAATTATTGTAAATTCAACCTTAAATGCATTGCCTATAGTTGTATTTACAAAGCTTAGTACAAAAAGCCATCAAATTTTACGACCGTGGCTCGTCGGTTGGATAAGGATTTTTTGTTTTTTTTTTTTTTTTTTTTTAGGTGAGGCTTTTTTAGGGGGGCGGGCCCATAGACATTTGATTTTTTCCGTGGGGGTTTTCTACTTTTTTTTTAATGATTGAAATTTATCTAAATGTAAATATGTTTTTGGATAGGACACCACATTCATTTAGTAATGAAAGTACTTGCAACAGTCATAATTATTTATTTATTCTTTATATTGTGTCAAAAATTTAAAAATATTGCTTGACATACAACTTAGATCTAAATTCAATAGTTACTTCATATAAAAAGTACGTACAGAAAGTTACAAGTCGTAGTCACATATTCATAATTTTCTAAAAAGCGCTCCGAACATACAACGCTTCCTTTGGTCAGCTTGAAGAATTCTTCGGGTCTTTGACGTGCTATGGCTGATATCCATTCTCCATACCTAACTGGATCGCGAGGAAAGCTAAAAAATAAAATGTCACATCTTTAATTTTATTACATGCACATGTCACATATTATTCAAAATTAAATAATCAAATTAAATTTTATTTTTTATTTAATTCATAATTAATAAAAAAAAAACAATATTAAATCTATGAAATGTTACTATAAAATTTAGAGAAACAATAAAGAAGTCTCATTAAACGAAACAAAAAAAATATACTTTAATAATAAAAAAATGAAAAAACAATAACGTCTCCAACAAATGGAACAGAGTCAACACACACAACTCGAACAATTATGACTTATTTTATTACGACTTAATTTAAAAAACGTTTTACGGAGATTTCTTTACAAAATATAAGTATTTACAATACAGTGATAACAATTAAATAATGATAATATTAATACGTACTGAAAATAGGAAATTCCATCCTTTTTTTAGGGTCCTGGATGTGTGATTTTTACGTTTTTGAAACGAGTACTGAGGCATGAGATTAAAAGCGTACCCAAATTTTGGAATGGGGGTGGGCGCTCATTCGGTGAGGACATTTTTTGTCACTGATTATGTATCTAGTTTTTTATTAGTGATCGATGTTGTTGAGTTGTTATCAGGAGTATACTGCTGCCCGTCTTTTGTTTCAGTTTCCCTCTATAGCATATTACGTCACGTCAAGTAGTATTTATTAAAGACACATACCGTTCATTTATTTACTTTAACTCATTTCCTCCCACGCTTGTGAACAAGCGCAACACTGCATGACGAATAGGTACTCACTCTGTCATCAACCGTACTCATACCATCAATGAAGCTTTCTGCTATTGACTTCCATTTTTATTCGTATTTGGATTTGGATAACTTTTTACACGGAAATGTTTCAACTTTGATATGGCGGTTAAAACGTTTATTATGCACGAGATTTCTGTGGTAGAGATATTACTAAAAAAGGCTGAATTAATCCTCAACAATGGCCGAGACTTTGATTCATCACCATCATCATCATTACATCCTTTCACACGTCCACTGCTAAACAAAAGCCACCTCAAAGAATGGCACAAAACCGGCACTAAGCCACCTGAATCTCTCCACTTTCTGTATGTCTGACCAGGTCATTACACTATCTAGTAGGGGGCCGCCCTGCACGCTTACCAGAACGAGGCTGCGACTCGAGGACTTTTTATCCTCTATGGTTGTCGGAACTTCGAGCTTAATGGCCCATTGCCATTTTACTTTATTGATCAGTTAAGTAGGCTACATCGTTTATACTGGTTCTACAGCGAATTCTATTAAGCACTTACGAGCACATCTCCCATAATAGCTTTCTTTTTTGCTTGATTGTGCGTACCAAATTTTTTTTCTCATACGATCGAGTGCAAGAGGACGTCTCAGATCCATATTTTATCACTGGCAACACGCGCTGGTTGTACAATCTTATTTACAAGTCTGAGGAAAACGTAACGAGAAGATGCGTATAATCTCCGGAACTTTGCCTAGTAGAGTCAAATCCGTCGATTGAAGTCTTACTCTATGTTGGATTTACTTATAAGATCAATCTGTCCTAGGTAAACGACTCATCTACTATTCTCATGATATACCGGACGTCAGTCTAAGTGAAATAAAAACGGCTCACAAGTATCTTACAAATCGGGTGAAGATGGAATTGTAGCGGAACTACGACTTATACAGATTAACGACTTCCAAAATCACTTTCTGAAAGTCTACAGTAACATCGACTACGTACATACCATACATGTAGGACCAGAAGACCGAAGAGCACGATCTTCCCCTTTGTTTTAAGTATTAGACTACGAGAAAGCACTTGTTTTCGTCGAAATTTAGATGGTGCTACTGTCCCTTCTGCAGAAGTATTTGTACAGTAGGGCATCGATGACTATTCGAGGACAGAAACAGAGTACGAAACCAAATTAAAGCTACCTAAATATACAAGCATTTCAGCAATATCATATACCGAGAGTCATTTTACTCTTATTAAATTAAATGGGGCTGTAGCATCGCCGCACCGCCAAAATTATAATACTTATACAATGTTAATACTTCGAATTATTAATTAAATATAAAAACTTAAAAAATGAATATTTCTCAATAAAAAATTATATAGGGAAGGCTAGGTCCTTACGGAGTGGGTTACCCCCGTTATCGTCCGACATAGTAATTTATTTTTCCCGTGGACGTACTACGGGAGGTGTTGGTTTAAAATGATAAAAAAACCGTCACGATAATTAACAACAATGTGATTCTAGGTAAAAATCACTTAAATACCAGGGCGGCACTGAAAACTTTGGGAATCAAGGAAGTGACCCAACATTACTATTTAAAAATGTATTTAATGTTTTTCGAAGTATTCTCCGCGAAATCTGACACATTTTTCCATACAATGGAACCAATCATTGAAGCAACCATTCCATTCGGAAGTTGGGGTCTTCAAAATGGCCGTTTTGTAGGCGTCCACAGCTTCTTCAGGTGATGAAAATCTCTATCCACGCAATTTATTCTTTATTTCAGGGAAAGTATAGAAATCATTAGGGCTTAGTCGGGGTTGTACAGCGGATGGTCTAATAATTCTATGTTTTCTTGCTCTAAAATCTCTTTTGTTCTGTGTGCGGTGTGAGAAATCGCATTGTCGTGATGGAGGATGATGCGGCGGTTGTAGTTCTCTTTACGGAGTTCAGAAACGACCTGTGACAAACAAATGCTAGCATACCATTCTGCATTAACCGTTATTTGTCCCTCAAGAGGAATAGTCGTAACATGGCCGGTTTTGGAGACAAACGTGGCCACCATTTTTTTGCAACACTTCGTGAACGAACAATTTTTGTTGGCTTTAACTCATTTTCAAACACCCAAACTCGTGACTGGTTTTTTGTTTCGGATTCGTACGTATATATCCAGGATTCGTCACCTGATACAATGTTGTATACAGTATTTGAGGATCCTGCGTGGAATCTTTCGAGAGTTCTGACGCACCAAGTAACGCGAGCCGCTTTTTGCTCTTCACAGAACGAATGCGGTATCCATCGGGAAAACAACTTTTTTACACCTAATTGTTCATGCAAGATTATTTGTATTTGACTCATGCCAATGTCTAAAGTTGTCTGAATTTCGCAGTATGTCACATGTCGATTTTCCTCAATCAGCTTACGCACAGCATCAACGTTTTCTTGGGTGACTGCAGTTTTTGGACGACCTTGATGGGGATCATCACTGAGCTTGACACGTTCACGTTGAAATTCAGCAAACCAGCGATAAATCGTGGTTTTGGATGGGGCTTCATCACCAAATGCAGAAATCATCCAGTCAACACACCGTTTTTGTGTTAAACTACTTCGAAAGTCATAATAAATCATCGCTCTTGAATTTTCTCGAGTCAATTCTATTTTCTCAACGACTAAAGCGGGCTACATACGAGACAATATCGGTGGCGATCTAGGGTGGAAAGAAATCGGGGCTTTATCGGGGCAGACCCTACTCACGGGTCTGCCAAGCAGTGCGCGTTCGGACTTATAGCGGAACGCATGTGCGGGTGAGCGCTTCAAAATGCCTCCAACTCTCTCAAAACACCAACGTGTTGGTTTGGCATTAGCCCTGTCGGTTAATTTATTCGAAAAAAAAAAGAGGAGTAGCTGTGTGAAAAAATGTCTCCAAAAGAGACAAAAACTAAGCCACATAAACGTACTAAATGATCTGGATACCAAAACATGATTAATTTTCTCCGGATGGATGAAAACAGTTTTAACAACCTTCTACAAATGATTTCGCCACTTATAGAAAAACAGAGCACTGTGATGAGAGAAGCCATAAGCCCAGGTTCCTTGCGTCTTTATTAAAATAATTTTTATTTTTTTTTATCCCACATTTGTGGATTTAGTTTATAAATATCTATAATTTCAATATATGCTTCCCGTTCTTCTTCGGAAACAATTTTGTAAAGAGAATATAAACACTGTTATGTTAACGTCCTTCCGCGAGGGCTGCCGGCAGCGACTGTCAAAAGAAATCGGGCCGATGCGCCTACACACACGCAGTACGGAGGGGGCGGGGCCTCGATCTAGGAAGCATCGGCTGCATTTTTGCTCCTGCCAGCCGGTTAAGGAGGCGATATCGGCCACGACTTAGGATGGCCCTACATACGACACGATTTAGAGGCAATCTAGGAAGCATCCCCACCATTCCACCCTAGATCGCCACCGATATCATGTCGTATGTAGCCCGCTTTAACAAGTTTGACAAAACCTTGTGACAAGACCGAGAATCTTTTTTTAAATAAATAAATGGTATTCGATTTTTAAAACCAAGGAGTTTTCAATTAAACAGATTTTAAAATGACAGGAACAGTGGAAATATTCCATTCCCGATACTTTTAGTGCAGCCTAGGTTATTACTAACATAAATCACAACGTAGCTCTATGTACAAACTATACGGAACGCGGGACAGTTTCTAGTCAACTTCACTCTCCGATAGCTCATGATAATGTGTGTGCAGCTCCGGTCGACCGTACGTCGTAGACTCTGTCCAGTGCCACCGGATGGCGCTTGCGTTCTGAATGTTTAAAATAATCATTCTAAAAGTACCGACTCGATTGCGACATATATAACTTTTAAATCACCTGTTTTCACCAAATAACTCATAAATAACAATTGTACGAAGTTTATTTTCGGTCTTAAAAAATTAATTTAATATAACTTATTTGCAGAACAAAATTATTAGATGCTTTCTTGGAGGCAGGAAGAATACTTGGGCATCCAACCGTTGACTACAACGCACCAGAAGTTATGGGATTTGGCAAGGTACAAGTTACAATAAGCAATGGACGAAGACAAAGTGCAGCTAAAGTATTTCTGCATAGTCAGAAAAATAGACCTAACTTGTACATTTTACCTGAAGCTAAAGCAACTAAAATATTGATAGATCCTGTAACAAAAACAGCCTATGGAGTCGAATATGTTCACAAAAACGTTTTACGAACAGCAACGGTACGCAAGGAAGTTATTTTGTCAGCTGGACCTATAGCGTCCCCACAACTATTGATGCTTTCTGGCGTTGGACCCAAGGAACACATGACCTCAGTTGGTATTAATGTGATTAAAGACCTGCCTGTGGGCAGGACTCTATATGATCACATATGTTTCCCAGGAATTATTTTTACAATAAATGAGACAAACGTCAGCTTAATGGAATCTAAAGCATTAAATATACCTGATGTAACAGAATGGCTCAGAAACGGTGATAATGATATATCATCCCCAGGCGGTGTCGAAGGAATTGGTTATATTAAAACACATGTCTCAAATGATTTAGAGTTAGTACCCGATATAGAACTTATTAGTATCGGTGGTTCAATCGTGTCTGATGGAGGTCCAAGCGGTAGTAAAGCCGTACGCAGAGGAATGAGAATAAGAGACGAAATCTTCAATGGAGCCTTTGGATCAATAGATAATACAGATACTTGGAGCGCATTTCCAATGTTACTCCAACCAAAATCTGTTGGTTATTTAGAATTAAAAGATAAGAATCCGTTTAGCCATCCCCGTCTATACGGCAACTATTTGACAGATCCACGTGACGTGGCTACATTCGTAGCAGCGATCCGTCACATACAAGCGTTAGCAAATACAGAGCCATTCCAAAGATTAGGAGCCAAGATATACCCTGCAAAGTATCCAGCATGTCATTCCTTAAAGTTTGACTCTGATGAGTACTGGGAATGTGCATTACGCACCCTTACTGCGACTTTGCATCATCAAATAGCGACTTGCCGAATGGGACCGGAAAGCGATCCACTAGCCGTTGTAGATCCTGAATTACGGGTGCATGGTGTCAAAAGGTTACGAGTTGTTGATACAGGAATCATACCAATGCCTATATCTGCCCACACTAACGCACCGGGAATGATGATCGGGGAAAAAGCAGCTGATATGATCAAGAACTTTTGGAATATATACATAAACAATAAAGTGCAATACTCATGACATGTGGGTAATTTTACTTCCCAATGTTTTTAAGTTACCAATAATTTTTTTTAAATAATTTTCTTTAATCCTGACGACAACATGATAATTAAACCAGAACATACCTGCAACCTCAAAACACCTCACGTAAACTATATTTCGACAGAGCTAAGATTACTTTACTTTTTCTCTGTCTTAAATGTTATGTACACAATTATTGCAATTTATCATTGCGTATTCCCTCCTCTTACTCGAATGACGGCCTGCAATCGCCGTTTTAAGCACTTTATCAAGATTTTGATGGTCTCTTGAGGGATTCGGTTCTATTCTTCCATAACAGCGGTTTCAAGGTTTCCTAATGTTGTAGAAACTGGATTACAGGCCCTAGCCCTTTGTTTTAGGGTCTCCCACATGTGCTCTATAGGATTGAGAACAGGGCTTCTTGCTGGCCACGACATAACACGATTATCGACCTCTTCAACGTAATCGGTAGTAATGCACACTACGTGTGGTCTGTGGTGGTGGATTAATTCAAAGTTCTCTCCAATATAGCCGGCATATGGCACCAGATAGTCTTCTAAAATCTCGGTGATGTAGCGTGCCACAGTTTAAGCCTGTTGTATGAAAACTAGCTCCCTGCGTCTAGTCAAAAATATCCCAGCCAAACCATTACAGCGACCCCACCATAACTGATACGCAACACTGGGTATAACGTTCACCTGGCCGTCGCATGACATAACGGCGTCCATCAGAACCGTATAAAGTCATTGGACTCCCATCACTAAAAAGAACTGACTCCCATTGTCCTATAGTCCAGTTGATATGGTAACGTTACAAATTGAAGTCTGACAAGTCGATGAGCTGTGGTCAATTGTGGTCCTGTTGCTGGCTCGTGAGGTATTAAATTCTGCTCATAAAGTTTCCTTCTTACAGTACCGTACCTTATAGTCACACCCCGATCTTCACGTAAGTCGCTGGAGGTCAACGCCAGATAGCTGCAGCTGATACCAATATAAAGTGATCGTCTCTTTGAGTTGTCACCCTTTGTCTTCTAGATTCAGATCTTCTTCGAGACCGCTTTCTGGAGACTATCCAGAAACCTTTGGAAAACTTGCCACACTGCAGAACGGCTCAGATTTAACTTCCTGACCACGACGAGTTGACTTAAGTCCTGTTGTAGCAAAGCCACAACTTGGGCCGCCTCAGCTTCAGTAGTGTCTATTATTTTTAGTAATCAAAACTACAAGCTCTCTCAAAGTCTTCATTAATTACGTTGTAAAAATTGGGAGTGTATCGACGAGGGTTGCGTACCTGGACAATAAAAACAAATCGAGCATTGTGTCAAAAAGACTTTATATACTTACTCATGGCAGCCAAAGTGACTACAAAAAACCTAATTTTTATTTTTATTTAATTAGATTTGTAAACCAAATTCTCCATTATTTTCGTTCCGTCCCGATATTTGGCCCGTTAGACATGGCAACACTAATACACATTATAGCGAAAAGCGCTAGTACTCGTACCTGCTCGTTTGTCACCCTTCAATAAAAAAAAATATCGAAGTGTTTGAACCTAGCGCTACGATGGCTATCCGAGTACTGAACCAGAGTACAAAACCTATCCAACTCCAAAGAGATGTAAGACAGGGTGACTTAATATTCCCGAAACTCTTCACCGCTGCGTTGGAAGACGTTTTCAAGCAACTGGCTTGGAAAGTTTACGGTATTAACGTCAATAGCGAATACATCACTCACCTTCGATTTGCCGACGATATAGTCCTTATGGCAGAATCACTGGAAGACTATACTCAATGATCTCAATAGTGTTTCCCAACGGCTTATCCGTCTTAAGATGAACATGGACAAAATAAATGAAATTTCCATGCATGTCATACCTATTACCAGTGGTTGTTGGGAGATCTGAGACGTGGTCCTTCACTGCTGACCGTATAAGGAAGCTCAAAGTCGCTCAGCGAGCTATGGAAAGGGCTATGCTCGGAGTTTCTCTGCATGATAAACTTAGAAATGAGGATATCCGCACTAGAAGTGCCGAGTGACCGACATGTTCCAACGGATAAGCAAGCTGAAGTGGCAATGGGACGGTCATAAAGCTCGAAGAACCGATAACCGATGGGGAAAAAGGTTTCTCGAGTGGCAGCCTCGTACCGGCAGGCGAAGTAAAGGGCGTCCTCCAACTAGATGGATGAAGGTGGCTCTTGACCATGCTTTGTGGCATTTCTTGGGGGAGGCCTATGTTTAGCAGTGGACTTGCGAAGGGCTGTAATGATGATAATGAAGTTTCTCTACAGCAGTTATATTAACATGCTGTGCACACTCTTTTGCATTGTAGTCTAGATCAACACCAATATATTTTTAATTTTAGACCTTTTATATAATTACTGTCTGTTCGTGTACCTTATTCAATAAAATTAAAAAAAAATATAAATCTTTAAACAGTGTTTTATAATAAAAAACAGTGATTTATCTTTGTCTGACCGGCGATATGTTATGCCACCAATTAATCTCTTTGCTAGTACTTCTATTTTTGTGCATTTTTATGTTATAAGCCGTGATTTTGATCGTTAAAATAAATTATTTTCCGGATGGTGTCGGATGCATGTTTAAAGCCGACCACGGCGTTCTAAATAACCCTATTTTTTTGCGCATGTCAAAGCGTCACGCGTAAGACTTTCTTGGCATATCTTCCCTGTTTTTATTATCTGTAGTACGTGCTAACAGGCTAACGAGCCAAGTACGTGTCGTCGTCTGTCGATAGGGCGATAGCCGCGTACTTATAAATTAAGTTGTCATACAGACACGAGGACAAATACAACACATCGAGACCTGAAAACTAAAAACTTAATGTACAGATTTTATTGCAGCATAAATTGCAGCTATAATTTAACCTAAGGACCTAGGATACGCGATCGTCACAATACAATGTAATAAAATGTTAAAAAAAAAGTAAATTTAATTTCTTTTAATAATATGATTACATATCAAAGATGGAAGCAATACTTTTAAAGCTGTTGTTTAACGTATTATAGCTGGAGGAGGCATCTAAAGTAAATGAAAAAGAAACTTTGAAAGAAATGACAGCGATTAAAAACATGATACAGGTAAAGCAGATGGGTATTATAGAATATCATTAGAAATGCTGAGGGTTGAAGAGGGAGTTGGTGGCAAGCCTACCGTAAACTTTCTTTAATTAGGATTTAGCACGAATGGGTCGGCTCGAACTAGGAAGGATTATGCTCTCACAGTATACCAGCGTAAAATAACAGTTTGATACTGCTGCGTTTCGTATGGTGAGTGTGGCGAGGTGGATATCCTTATAAATGAAAATGAGGCATTCCATCTTAGTCTTCAAGGGTGACAATGCATCACCCATTTTGATTCTTAATTGAAGATAGATGTAGACGTATATATGAACCACAGCATCCACTTACCATATCAGGTGGTGGTGTGTGCTTCTCTGTCTTATTTATTTACTTATATTAAAAAAATATGCTGGGAACTTAAGCGAGTACTAGGAGGCAGGTTATAGTCCCACTGTGTAAGGGAAAACGGTCACAGAAGGGCTGTAAAAACTACCTTGGACTCAGCCTGCTTCGCATTGTCGGAAAACTGTATTTCTTTTTTTTTAGGACGTTTATAGTCCAGCCACGTCTCATGAAATTAGCGTAAAATAGCAGCGTAATGTTGCTGTGTTTCGTATGGTGAGTGTAGAGAACCGGAGACACTTTTTACTGGAATGGCTCCATTCCATCTTAGCCCTCAGATGTGACAAAACACTTGCATTTTGATTCTTAATTTAGGATAATAAATGTGAATGTCTATGGGAGCATATAGGTGGACTGTGTGCTCGTTTGTCACCTAATGCTATAAAAAACGGTATTTTCTCTGCGCATGCTCACGGAGAAGTTTTGGCCGAACACGATAAAGTTTCCTGTACATTTGAAGTCTTAGAAGGCGTATGACAGAGAGGACAGGGTCGCCTAATGGCAAACGCTTGTCTCGTTTGACTGAGCGCTGGGCTGACACAGGTATTTAATTATTTTTGTAAGGACTTGTAAGGACTAGTGCTTGTGTCTGGATCAACATACCTACACGGACTGGTTTAGATCCCATACAGATGACAGACAACTTTGTGTTGATTTCCCGTGGCTAATAAATCTGATTATGAAATCTGATTATGAACAGATATTTTGGTAAGTCTGAAAGTCGAAAAATATGGATTCATAATACCTTATGTCAAGAAGATCATTTTTGTAAGAATGTAAAAAAAGCACTTGCAAAATAAGAGAAGAAGGTGATGGTTGAGAAAGACGATGAGTTTTTGTATTTAGAATGTGTGTTTAGCAGGGACGGTAGACATGAGAAAATAATTATATATATATATATATATATATATATATATATATATATATATATATATATATATATATATCATGTCTGTATGACAACTTAATTTATAAGTACGCGGCTATCGCCCTATCGACAGACGTCGACACGTACGTGGCTCGTTAGCACGTACTACAGATAATAAAAACAGGGAAGATATGCCAAGAAAGTCTTAAGCGTGACGCTTTGACATGCGCAAAAAAAAATAGGGTTATTTAGAACGCCGTGGTCGGCTTTAAACATGCATCCGACACCATCCGGAAAATAATTTATTTTAACGATCAAAATACTTAAAACGATAACGATCAAAATACTTAAAGCTTGTAACATAAAAATGCACAAAAATAGAAGTACTAGCAAAGAGATTAATTGGTGGCATAACATATCGCCGGTCAAACAAAGATAAATCACTGTTTTTTATTATAAAACACTGATTAAAGATTTATATATATTTTTTAATTTTATTGAATAAGGTACACGAACAGACAGTAATTATATAAAAGGTCTAAAATTAAAAATATATTGGTGTTGATCTAGACTACAATGCAAAAGAGTGTGCACAGCATGTTAATATAACTGCTGTAGAGAAACTTCATTATCATCATTACAGCCCTTCGCAAGTCCACTGCTAAACATAGGCCTCCCCCAAGAAATGCCACAAAGCATGGTCAAGAGCCACCTGCATCCATCTAGTTGGAGGACGCCCTTTACTTCGCCTGCCGGTACGAGGCTGCCACTCGAGAAACTTTTTTCCCCATCGGTTATCGGTTCTTCGAGCTTTATGACCGTCCCATTGCCACTTCAGCTTGCTTATCCGTTGGAACATGTCGGTCACTCGGGTTCTAGTGCGGATATCCTCATTTCTAAGTTTATCATGCAGAGAAACTCCGAGCATAGCCCTTTCCATAGCTCGCTGAGCGACTTTGAGCTTCCTTATACCATCGCCATCGTATCGATCGGATAGCCATCGTAGCCCTACTGTACAAATACTTCAGCGCTTCGATATACCGACAATCAACTTGGCACCGCTGAAGGGACTGTAGCACCGCCCAAATTTCGACGGAATCAAAGGCTTCATCATAGTCCACATACGCCAGGCAAAGTAGCAGATTGTACTCTTCGGTCTTCTGTGCAATCTGCTGCAGGGCATGTATGTGGTCTATGGTACTGAAGCCTTTTCGGCTTGTTCAATGACTCTCGAAAACAGCACGTAGACGCGGCTCAGAAGGGAAATCGGTCTGTAGTTCTTCAAGAGAGCGTTGTCGCCTTTCTTAAAGAACAAAGCAACCGCACTTCTGCTCCACGCCTCCGGAGTAGTGCCACCATGGAGGACAGAATTGAAGAGCTTCTGAAGGACGTCAAGTACCGGTGTTCCACCCGCTTTCAGAAGCTCCGCTGTAATTCCATCCTCGCCTGAGGCCCTGCCGTTTACAAGATGCTGGAGAGCCATTCTAATCTCGCTCAGACTGACGTCCGGGATATCATCGGAATAATGTCGGATAAGACTTGCTCTTGGATCGTTACTCACACTTGCGTGTGGCTCAACCTCACTCAAAATCTCACTCAAAATCACTCTTCAGCTATGACAGTTGGCTTTTTCTGGCAGACAGATCTCTGGCAAAGACTTTGGAGCCCTGGTTTCGCTCGATCGCTTCTTTAATACGAGCAGTATTAAAGTTGCGTAAGTCTCGCCGCATGCATTTGGAGACCTGTCTGTTCAGTTGCCTATATGCTGTCAAATCTGTTGACGATTGCAGCCTCATCTCTCGTCTAACAGCCATGAGATTAAGAGTGTGATCGGAGGGTTTTGTGTTCTTATGCGGCGGGTTATGCAGAACTTAGCTCCGACCGCATGGACAGTTTCCACGAGGTTGTCATTCATATCGTCTACTGCATTGCAATCTTCTAGACACTGAAAGAGGTTACGTAACTCGAGCTGAAAGGTTTCGGGATTCTAGATTAGAGCACGAGGGGACGGAGCGTTGACTTCATTAGACGAGACCTCTCCAACTTAACGTTTAGGTTCAGTGTGTGCTAATCATTCGGTGATCGCTGCCAGTTTTCACCCTTGCGATCACTGAGACATCACTGAACAGTCGGCGTCTGGTTGTCATAATGAAGTCAATCTCATTTTTCCGTCGGGGCTCGACCAGGTCCACTTTCTGTGGGGCCGCTTCTGAAAGAAAGAGTTTATCATAAAAAGTCCCTCTTTCTCCATGAAGACGGCCAGCTGCTGGCCCCTTGGGTTTCGTTGCCCTATCCCAAATTTCCTTACTTTCAGTTCACCGTTCTTTCGGTATATATATATATATATATATATAACCATACCGGGGCGATTGAACTGTCCGTATGGGAAAATAAATTATTTTTGTTAATTTTCAATATTTATTTATACGCTTTTTACATGTGACAATAGATGGTTCAAAGTTATGTTATGGCTTAGTCCGATGGAATAAAACCGCCTTTAGCCTTTACTACAAGCTTGAGTCTCTTCCTGAACCAAGCGCACGCTGCTCGAAAGACGTCATCACTTAAACAATTCCATTCTCGCGTAAGACTAGCTTTGAGCGCTTCCACCTTCCACCGACGTGAGTCTCGCGGATTCAAGTTGGGTGATGACAACGGCCACATATCTCGATCGATCAGCACTGGAACGTTCGCTTTCAACCAATTTTGCGTTCCAATTGCTCTGTGCGATGGTGCCGAGTCTTGCTGGAAAGTCCAACGATCAGAACCGAACGTGTGACGTGCCCACGGTATCAACCCAGGTATTAGGACTTTGTCTCGATAGATTTGCTGATTTATTTTGACTTGGTTGCGACCCATTGGGAGAAAAACGAGCAGTGAACGGCCTTTTTCAGACCGCCGCCCATACCATGATTTGATCGGCTCCTTGACGTCGAGTGACTTGCAATTCGTCCGCATGGTTGCTGACAAATACAGAGCAATCACTGAATTACGTTTTAAATCCATCGTTTTAAATTAATAAAACCATGAAAGAAAATATCGTCGAGACGGACAGTTCAATTGCCGGAGCCGGATATAAACATATATATATATATATATATATATATATATATATATATATATATATATATATATATATATATAAAGGCACATAATTACGGCAATTCACAATGCTGTTTTAGTCCTATTTTAATGTATGGCAGTAAAAGTTGGATGTAGCAGAAGAAGCGTAAGAATTAAGTTAATGCGTAGCAATGCGGTCATGGAGAAGTACATTAGGGTTGACTCCGAATGAGTAGGGTAAGAAATTGTATGTTAAGAGACAAGTGTGCTTTGCAAGATATTATGATGATTATAAAAAAAATGATCGGTAGTTAAACCACAAAGAGTATGACATTTAACCAAAGAAGCGAGAGAGGGGTTTCAGGATTGTGTCAGATGGAAGTCCGTAGCCTCTGCCTATCCCTCTCGGTGAAAGACGTGAGAGTTTACGTATTTTATATGCATATTTGTATACAAAACAGAACAAAAGAATGAACAAAACAAACGACCCAAAATAAAAAGAGCCAAACAACGACAAAAAAAGCTTGTTTCAACAATTTCTACATAATCACAAAAAATATCCTTAGCAATATAAGTAAAAATAAACCTTAAAACATCCGTGATTATGCAACAAAAATCTACTTGTTTATTGTAAAATCTGACTTCAGCGACCAATAATTACGTTTAATAACAAATTACTCGAGAAGTTCCGCTGAACTTTCATCGAGTGTATTAACTACTCGTAAAAAACATGAACTCGTAAAAACATGCTGACGTCATGACGTATGCATAAAGGGTCGATTCTTATCTCTATCTCTATATCTCTCTAAAATTTTGAAATTTTAAAATCTTGAACAAGAAAACGCATTTTTGTAACAAAGAGCCAAAAAATTTAAAAATAACTAACTTTTAAAAATACCTAATTTAGATCATTATCCCGCGTCATTTCAAATTATTGGCTTAGTACACAAACACAGGGATAATCATATTGCCTTCATTAATTCTGTTTCAATCGAATCAAGTCATGGCAACTAACGACTTAGACTTTTTTTTACTTTTTTATAAGCCCGTGCCAAAATCCCACCTGGTGGTAAGTTGTAATGCAGCTTTAGATGGTAAATCGCACTGTTCTATGGACGCCACACACGGTCAGTTCATCTGATCATTCCAACTGATCAGTTTAATACCTAATGCCTAAGATTTTCGATATATCGATAAATAAATTTATATATAAAACTCCAATAATGATATATTTATAATTATCGATATATCGAAAATCCGATATTTTAAAAAATATTAACAGTTTTAGTTTGAACTGATCAGTTGGAATGATCAGTTGAACTGAGTGTGTGTGGCAACCATTAGCGTAACAAATGCCTTGAAGACGCCCAGATTGTATTCGGACGGAAAGATAGACGCCGGCAAACTATTCCACTCATTTGCTGTACGCATTAAAAATGTCGAAGTAACCCGTTTGGTTCTAATGCGTGGATTTCGACAACAAAAGGGGTGAGACCAACACAACTAATATCAGTCAAGTAGCAGCATAAAGACGTCGATATCTTGGTTTTGTTTCAATCAAACTAGACAGAGTACTTGACCGTGTAGGAACGGTATAAAAATATCCACCACCTTATAGTCTTATTGATTTCGGAAAAGGCGACAAATGGAAACAAACCAGGAGATGGACAGAAGCATCTTCCTAATAACAAAAAAAAAATTGAAAACCGCGGGTGCCAACACAGCCACGCTTGGCATTATCCCTCCTACAAAGCAATCTATAGGGGAAACCTTTATTCAATAGTGTACTTTTAAAGGTGGTACTACTGCAATAAGCGCCTTACATCTCTAGTACCAGAAATATATTGATATGAATTTTACATTTTACAATATTTTTTCAACACTTTTTTGTCTACTTTTTACTAATCTACATCTACGAAATTTTAATCTAATAAGCTAAAGTAACATTTTTTTTATATAGAGCGTGAGAAAATCTAATCGAGTAACCAAGCTCTACTGGTCGCAGGACTAATTTTTTGTTCTTACAAATTTTAAAAATTTGTGGATCCGTGGAAATAAAAAAGAAATGCAATGTCCCCCTGAGATCTTACAGTGGACACGAGGAATTAAAAATGTAGATGCAATGTCCTCCTGAGGTCTTGGGATCGAATTCCATGTTACCAGTTAAAAGATGAAAAAAATGTTCGGTTCTCGTCACTTACCATATGAAATACAAATACATAGCAGCAATTATTTGTTATTTTACGCTGTTATTCTGTGACAGCGTAGTTCTTCCTCGGTTGAGTCTCGTTCCAATACTTTGCTGTGCGCTCTATAAAAGCTGCAAAATACGTCATGTGGGTTTTTTAATATGTAAATTCTACCAATTACAATTACAATATTCAAATACTCCTCAAGATATAATGCCTAAATATGTTTAATGTCATAAACAACAACTGCAATAACTTACATCGTCTGTGTTGGTTACCTCCTAACAATTATTATAACAATACTTCGAGCTAAAACTTTATAGTCCTTAAAACAAAAGACTTAAAAGAATATTCAATTAATTGTCCGTTTAAGACAAGTTCAATGTTTTCAGCTTTAAACATATACGTAACATAAACCGGTTTAATACATTATTCTTCTGGTAGTAAAAAACGTTATGCTAACATGTATATATACTTAAGGGATTATTGCATAATGTATATCTGATTCTGAGAGCTGACAAGGTAGTCGCCGAACGGTTGAGTAAAAGCAAAAATAATAATGAAATATCAAATTACACTTTGTTTATTTTTAATGAGTCATCCAGTGTTTACTAAAGTAAAACCAAATCCTTTTGAAGATGACGAAGTTACAGTGTCAATTGAAGATAGTGCATACGCCGATCCTCAATCATGTGAACTATTTTGCGATAAAGAATCGATTAGAAAGAAAAAAGACTTAACAGGGATACCAGGGAGAAGCCTTGTTATTGAAGCAATGCTACAAACGCCAATGTTGCAACTACATCAATCAGATCCTGATATTCTTTCAATATTGCAAGACCGTTACGATCTTCCCAAAGGCAAGTTAAAAACAATTTTTTTTTCTAATCTTCATTTATTTCATACATGTCTTCATTGTAAAACATAGTGCGATTTCATGTAATTTAAAATTTATACCTACTTGAAATTGTGATCATTTAATGAAACTACATTATCATTATTCAAAAGATTGTCACACGTACCTGTTTCACCGGCTACGTCACCATAAAGGTACATCAGTTTCTTAGTTCAACATCAGGGTTTTTGCAACCAATGTACCCTAATTTTTTTTTTAACTGAAGTGACAAACAAACTTACAGTTATCCTGGTGGTAAGGCAGGTGTCAATGGGCTGAAGCTGCCAGCTTCAGCCCATTGACACCTGCAGTCAACTTCAAACAAAGGACTCTCAAGACTTGGTGTACCTAAGTCTAACAGCCAGATATTATACTAGCTCTCTACGCCCTGCAGATCGTAACGGCAATACAGACTGCTATTTGACGGCAGAAACAGGTAAGAGCGTGATAACTATTCAGATGGACTCCAAAACTGAAGTGGACCTGCGCTACAAAGTTATTGTTGATGAACAATTACGATGAAACATGTACATGTGTTAAGCCTATTATTAATCAATCGCCTTATTATTTTTTATTATTATTTTTATTATCAAAGGCATTTAAATTGATACTTAGCAAAACATTTCAAATTAATTAAACTAACAAACTCTAGCGTAACGTAACTAAACTTTTTCATCTTCTTGCCCTAATCCGAAGTTATTTTGAATCAGCATAGTATGTCTTCCTCTTCCATTCTCCATTTTAAGCCGGCATCTCTTCACTCACTCCTGTTTACATATATCATCTCTTACACAGTCCATTCATCTTAGGCGTCTACTTTTACATCCAACACTTTCGTAGCCAAATTTTTAGTGTGTAATGAAAACAATTTACCCTATATATTTATTTTAAAACTACTCTGAATATATTTTATTCATACAACAACATTACGACATTAAACTGCAAAACGTGTGATAGCCGCAAGAGGTCAGCAACACTGCAAAACTGGATAAGTTAATGACCTTAACACAGAGACGCATTTTAATACCGCAAGTCGCTCCAACGTTAATGTTTATCGTTATTCTCTTTAAACAGATTGTTATTAACAACAAAAATATGTACTGTAATTGAAATAATGAATGTAGGTACTTTTTTTTAAGATCAATTTCAAAAGTTTGAATTGCAGCGTAACCAGATGAGTTAATTTATTTATTTATTTGAGTACACCAATGATTTTTGCAACAATGGAAAAGTAAGCACACATCAACTTAGGTACTAAGTGCACAATCAACTAAAGGTATACACCGCATGCTTCTAGTTACTAAAAAGTTACCTAGTAATTATAAATAAGTACATAAAATACAAAAACTAAGGATAAAACAAAGTTATATTATATGTAGTAGCTGGACGACCGAGCTTTACACAGTTTTTTTTTTTGAAATTACATTTAGATATTACAAATTACATACTGATGAAACATGAATAATATTTTTTGGTCTTATTGACGTAATAGAAAAAAACAGAACTGGTTATTTGAATAAAAAATCATGAGTGCAATTAGTTCAATTAAAATTTTCGTATTTTTAAAATATACTAAAAAAAGGGCTCGAAATAATAGAATTTCTCACAAAAGAAGGGAACTTGAAAAAAAGGAAAAAAAAGTCGGACCGAAGATAGGACGCGAACCAAGGCATTACGATTTCGCGACCGCTCGATATCCACTTGAGCTATTACGATCATTAACACAATGTCAAAATTTACCTTCTTACATTGTAGCGGTTTTTCATTGCCTGAAAACACGGACAAAAAGATATTTTCTAAAAATGAATCCTAGCTAGATCTATTTATTGCCCCCGAAACTCCCTGGACACTAAATTTTATGAAAATATACAAGAATTGCTCGTTTAAAGGTATTATATGTATAAAACAATAACTTACACCTAGTTACTTAAACGTGAACATCTATTAACCCACCGCACTTATTATATAGTTGGAAAATCCTGGAGACCGGTGAATTGTCTCCTAGACCAATTTTGCGAAACGGACGAGAGGAAGGTTCAATGGGCTTATGAAGCTAACGCGACGGAACTTTAAAATTAAATTTCATTAGGAGTGCAGAACAACGCAACTGATATCCTATATTCTTGAAAAAGAAGCATAGGTCAAGTAGATCCCTGTGGCTGTCCAAGCTCTGCATCCTTAGGAACTCTAGTAGGGCCTTGTGTCAGTCTTATATGCTATATGTCCATAAGCCTTTAAAAATATCATTAATACTTATATGGTTCTTCTGTCACAAAATAAGAAACTCTAATAACTTTGTTCTCTCTATTTTTCTAATATATTGGGTCCTTACATATGAAATTAGCGTTTTGTCGTACTGACCACTTTGATCTGAAATATCTCCTCTTTGGTTAAGAGTTCCAAATTCAAATTTATAAATTCATTTAGCTGGTACATTTGAGTTTTGAAATTCATTTCTTTTTTTTTTCTTATTATTTTTTTCTTTGGCGTCGCTTATTACTGCAAAATGGAAAACATGAATATCGGTATATTTACGAGTACAAGTTCTACCGTGACACCAGTGCTGCAGAAAAAGCTCGAAGGATTAATGATGTGTACGGCGCTGGTGTCACAAAAGAAGGCACGGTACGTCTTTGGTTTCAACGTTTTCGTTCCGGAAATTTCGACCTTCATGACCAACCCCGTGGACGGCCGGAGACCAAAGTAGAAAATGAAGAATTAAAGGCTATTGTGGAAGCGGATCCATCACAAAGCACTTCAGAGATAGCTGCAGGCTTTGGGGTAAGTGATAAAACTGTATTAATCCACTTGAAGCAAATCGGGAAAGTAAAAAAACTTGAACGATGGGGGTACCTCATGAATTGAGTGAATCGAACTTGCAAACACGCGTCGACTGCTGTGTTACTTTGCTCAACCGACACTAAACTGAAGGGATTTTAAACCGAATCATTACTTGTGATGAAAAGTGAATACTGATCTCTAATAGCAGAGTAAGATAATCGGAAGCGCTCGTCGCAATGACTGAACCCTGGAGACCCAGCCAAATCCTGCCTAAACGAAAATTGACTCAGAAAAAGTTACATGTGAGTGTTTGATGGACTAGCGCCGGTGTCGTTCACTACAGCTTTCTTAAATCTGGCCAAACGATTACGACAGATATCTATTGTCAGAAACTGCAAACTATGAAGGAAGAATAAGCTGCTAAACAACCGAGATTGGTCAATCGCTTTAGGCCACTGCTGCTTCACGACAACGCAAGACGAGTGTTGCCCAAAATCGGTCTTGGTCTTGTTCTTGCATTTTTGCAAATCCAAGACCAAGACCAAGACCGCCTAATTTTAGCATGAGCAAGACCAAAACTGACCGTGCAAGATTTGAGCAAGAACAAGACTAAGCCTGCGAGACTCTTGCGTTTTGCAGTTAGGAATGAGTGTCGTTTCAGGGAGTATAGGAGTTCGGGTATACGCTAAGGGACTCTATGAGACGCAAAAAATATATAAAAAAATTCGAAAAATTGGACTTATGCGCATTACGAACAATACCATAAACATACATAGCGGATGAAAATATCCATTAAAAGAAAAAACAGTGCATCCCTAGTTTTGACCATCGGCACTTTGATAGTGCGCGGCGTCTTGTTGTCGGCATCATCAAAGGTCGAATACTGACCTGTCAAAGAAATTTTTGCAGCTATTCGGAAGCACAAGGTCAAGATACACGCGCCGGCGGCTTCCATTGATATCGCATTCAATCGTCCCCGCCGCGCCGCACGCACTACATTCGACACTGTTTGAATGCCGCCACAGAGTACATGTTCCAAAGAATAAAATAAGTTTCCGGGTGCTCAGAATGGACACGAATACATTATGCTAATCTCGCAAGGAATATTGTAATTAGATAATGGTAAGGATAGATACCATAATAATTTATTCTAGTAAGTAATTATTATAATATTAACTATATGGGTTTATAATAATTACTTACTATTATTATTATTACCTAATAGATAAACATGTTCAATAAGTTCACTGCAAATCTCCATTTTTGGAAGTGTGTGTTTTTGAACACAAAGTGTTCGAATATGTCGTCACCCATTTGATAATGATTGTAGACACTTTTAACACACTTGAAACGTGTAAACATTTTGTACAATGCTAATCGAATAATATAAAAAGTGTGCATATTTAATAAAAAGCGTAAAATAAGATCTATGTACTTTTTGGGAGCCCGAGTATCTCTTAGAGAACCGTTTAAAGAAATTGATTGCATCGAATTGATGTAAATAATAGTGATTTGCACAATTTTAATAGTAGAAATAAAAATAAAATCACAATACCTGCTTTCCGGTTACACAAAGTATATAATGCGTTTATGGGAAGAAATGTTAGATCTTTCACCTTTTCAATTTAAGTCAGACAAAAATGCTTGGAACTGACCTCTCGTACTACACAGGATTAACTAGAAATTTCTAAACCGATTTGGTATCTACATATACATTTGACATTTTATGTTTGACTTATCGCTTTACATAATTATAGAACTATTGTAAAAATATTTTGAAAAGAGCAACTACTGAGTTTCTTACATTCTTCCATGATTCTTCTCAGTAGAATCGGAACTCCTGGACATGGAAAAGAAAAAATTGGGGAAAACAGTGATTATATGACTATTCAAAAGTGTATTTTTAATGCCTACTTGAATAAAACATATTTGAATTTTGAATTTCAAACGAGTGAAGGCAAATTTAATTTAATTAAAGTAGATTAATTCAATCACAAGAAGAACATAATATACACAATTTTATTTACATATTTACATTTCATTTTTACGTAGGCACACTATACCTATCTGGCAACGCATCTACTTTATTAATCTTCTGAAGAATCATTAATTTTATCAAAGGATGCCGAACTTTCCTTTGTCGGTCTTTCGGCGTGTACTTACAAATAATAGTATTTATTTTAA